GATAAAAATTAGTAATTCACTTGGGTTTATTTTCTTTTTGCCATTTAACTTTTAAGAGCCACAAAAACTGATAAATTCTTGATTTAAATCTAAGCGCTTCACTGTACTGTATCTTCAAGATACTTGTGCTGTCAGCAGATATTATATATTTTTCACTTGCAAACTTGCAATTCTTATCTTTGGAGAACGGCTCACCTTTGCAACCGTAGAATTCAACGTCCAACGTTACAATGATCGGAATATTCTGTTCTTTAACCCAACTGAGTGCAGTCGCTGCTGCCGCTGCCGCTGCTGGGGAAGCGCCAACGCCGGCAGAGACCGAGGCATAGCAATTCCCTTCCTTCTTTCACTTTCAAACTACACACGGATACATGGATACACGGACACACCGATACGGAATCCAAGCACGAACGGCAGAGAGCCGAAAAGCTGCCTTGGCCTGCCTCCTGGCTGCTCTGCCGGGGCTGTGGCATGCCCACCGAGTGCCTTCCATGTGTTGGTGAGTGCCGCCGTGCCGCCGTCGCCGACGATTGACGTAGGACGTGACGTATGACTAAAAAGCAGCAAATAAAGCTCTCTCGCGCACTCACACAGCGAAAGCTCACCCCCTAGAACTAACACTAGCACAAACTTGTCGCCGCGACTGAGAAAAGGAAAGTGTTCGGTTCGCAAACAGCTAGAAAACTGCATTGCTCCATGCGGGCGTGGGAGCGAGAAGGCATAGAAGAGGCAGCGACGGCAGCGACTTCTTGCAGCCGCAAATCAAAAATATTAAAATGTCCCCCCAAACGAGTGTGTGTGTGTGTGTTTGGGAGGGAGAGGCACTCACACACACCCATATGAAGGAGCGGTTCCATTGCTTAATTATGACCAGACACTGAGTAACGGAAAACGGAATGATATGCGACGATATGGAGAATACGATGAAAGTAATCAAGGCAAGTGGCACAATTACACCAGTTACGCCTTCTACCAGCCTTCGTCTTTCCATGGGAAGTGCAAATAGTCCGAATTCGCAAATAGTTGGAATTTGCAAATATTCAGGAGGGACAAGCTAAGCTCATCTCATGGCATAGCATCGCTAGCCCCAAGATTTGCTTAAAATGCTAAATAAACACAGTCGAAACGAGTCTAAAAAGATCGAAGATGCAAAATACAGTCAAAATTCTATACAATGAATAGATATATTCAGAAAAAAAAATATATTTTATCGATTTGTTAAGGTATTTGAGCAGAAAGTAATGATTCATGTCATATATATTTTACATTAGAACTGATTTTGTATAATTAATTTATACCTTCTCTTAAAAGAGCTGTATGAAAACAAATTAAAACTTTTAAATTTAGAAAGTATTGTTTTTTAAATACAAATGGCTTGAAAAGATCTTAAGATCGAATTGAAAATATATTTTGACCGAAATTTATGAATATATTAATGATTTATAGAGTCACAAATGACTCTTTCAGCGTTTCAAACTTCTAATTAAAATAATGATACGTTTCAGCATTAAATAAAGCGAAAATTCAACCAATATAAGTTCAAATTTTAGAATATCTCCTATAGGTAATACAACTCATCACCTATAATATATGCGCACACCTTCTATAAGAAAAGTTCTGTTGTTTTTGGCCTGATCTAAAGCAAACAAAACGTCGCCGTCATAAATTTTGGCACTAATACCGCAGTATATGAAATGAAAAATGTTGTGCTAAAATGTAAAAGATTTAGGGAAACTTGGGGGAGCTACGATAAATAATTGCGATGTGCCAACTAAAATCTATTACATAGTTTTGTTATCCCGCCAGAACCTTTGTTTTCACGGCTCCCCCACATATTTAATCAAATAAACACATTAAAAATAATCGCTTACACGACCTCTAACAAAAGTCTTGAACTTGATTTTGAATTTTTAGGCACAAACAATCCAAATCTTTTGGGCAACCCAAAGCAGGAGGCGGCCCATATGTTGTGTCATCGAAGCGAACATATTCATTTGTTACTTCTAGATGAAAACCGAGGAAAAATATTTGAAAAGTTGCCAAAGAAATTTATGCAACGCGCAGCAAACATCGGAAGATATATACGATACCTATACCCAACCCTATATCTATACGTATATCTATCCATCTATCTACGTGTGTTGTTTTCGAAAAAAGACTGAATAACTTTTGCTTTTCAACGGCACACGAATTTTCCACGGGACGGCCATTAAAAATACATATCAAATCGCCATTCCAACAATCAAATTAGATATTTTTTTGCGAGAACGATGTGCTGCAGATTAATTTTTGATACATATTAAACGAATACCAGGCGACAGCACCAGCAGGACGCTTATATAATCCAGGGAAATGTCGTCGCACAAAATCCCTTTCCATTGGCACAAACTTCTTCGCATTTTCAATTTACTTTTGCTGGCTGTCACTTCAGCCCCGCCTGTTTTCCTTTTCGTTTTCATTTTCATTTTCAATTGCTGCCGACGTCGAGTGGCGCTGAGATTACGTAAATGCGCCCAGCAGCTCTGCCTGCCAGCCAGCCATCTATACATCCATCCCATTGCCACTTCTAACCACTAACCCCACCAGCTGGTAGCCTGTCAGCCTTTGGGGGCTGGTTCGGTCCGTGTAGGATTTCGCATAGAACAATAGAGCCCCAAGTGGGGCGGGAAAAAAGCGAAAATGGCATATACTGCGGTGGGTTGACCTTGAAAAGCTTGCGAAACAAGCGCACGGATATGTAGATACTCGCACAATAGCAGCCACTGGCGATTTCGTTACTGTTGACACACAGTTGAGAAAGCACTTAGCATCTAGGGGTATAGAACGCACAGCAGAGTTCAAAATACTAGAGCCAAATGGAGGTCCAATAATAAAGGTGATATTTCTAAAACAATTGTAACATAACAGTGAATATTAGGAAGATTATTATGAGAATTACGAGGGTGTACTTAGCCTAATTAGTTTTAACTCTTAATATAACTAGAAAGAAGTCCCCTAAACTACTGAAAATTTTCATTTTCTTTAAGAGCTATAAGGGGATATATAAATAAAAACCTATTGAACCCTAGAAACCAAAATATTAATGCATCTAGTACATAAATCAATCTTTTTTCTAAAGACCAGAAGACAAAAATCTAAGTATTTCTGAGATATTTTCGAAAATAAATAAATAATTGCCTTCTTACTGCTATTATTTCGAAAGCAAACGTAAGTATATATTCATAAGAGGTGACTGTTGCCTGGAGAGAGGCATGTGACAAGCCTAGAATGAGCTAAGCCACCGCTAGAGAATCCCCAGCTTGTGGTGGCTTACACACACTAAGCTGCCGCAAAACACAATCTTTTATCTTTATCCGCACATCTGACGAATCGGAAAAACTTGCATAACATTCCCCAACACACTAAATATATGAGGAGAATGGTCGTGTAGCGGGTAGAAATGGTGTTTATAAAAGCATTTAGTCATTGACTGATTGCGTTCCCTGGAGGCCAGCGATCGCTGCTAATGTGTGTATGCTGCTGCTGCTACTGCTGCAAAAAAACGAAAGCCAAAAAATGAGTAAACCATTTGAAATATGTGTTATTAATTAGTTCAATTTGCGGGCAGCGAAGCACGAGCCCAACTTAATGCCCAACAGTGGCCGCTATCCGGGCAATTAGCTGTGAAATTACTGTCATAATTGAAACGCCAGTCGTCGGCGGAGGAGGAACTCTCTAGCATTAACAGTATCTAGTGGGCAGTGGCTAGTGTCTAATTATCCGTGGATTGCAACATGCCTGTAGAACTGCTTCATTTATCGAAATATATGATAAAACTATACTATTCTATATATACTATATGCTAAAAGCTCTGCCCGTGTTGTCAACTTTCCATCTGTGTTGCGCCTTTTGTTTGCTAAACAATATTTTGGCAGCACATCAAAAGCGACGCTTGCCAAAAGCAATTTTTTGCACAGACGCGAGCCAAGTGCTTAAAATATATATCCGTACATATGTATCTGCTCGGGTATATAATCGGGCATGTATGTACAGCGTACATCAAACAAGACACCCAAATGAAGACCTCTGTCCATCAGTAGGGATCAGATATGAGGCATGACGCCGCTTGGCTAAGCTAAAATGGGACTCCTCCTCCTCCTCTCGGCAGGAGGCTGATTTCGGTTGCAACTGCAGAGCTAATTTGCTGCATATGAACAATGAAAAATGTACATGGCACTGGCTGCGTCTCCAAATGTATTAATAAACTTTGCATGGGGGGAGATCATGTGACCCGCCATCAGCGAACGCGGACGCGAGCGCGTAGAGAGTTGGACAGGTCTCATAATGGCCCGACAAGTGCTCATCATTTCCATTTCACTATGGCAGCCAGCCAAAAACTAATAAACCAACCTGCCCCTAGGCGGAGGCACTTTCCTTGAGCACCTGGGCAAGGACAAGTCGGTGCTGGGCTTAAGCCCAACAAGGATTGCGTGCACCAAGGCTTTGCCCGATTAATATTAATGGGAAATCAATTGTGCGCAATTATAGGAAGAAGTGGAGAACCCGACACATGGCCAACTCGGCTTCATAAATAAACCGTAAAGTGCACATGCAGCAGCAGATCCAACAGAGGCGACGGCTATGGCGACACCCGTGTGAGCCGAACCAAGCTGAGCTGTCCGCCCAAGCACAGAACATGAGACAAAAATAACAGCAAATTGTGGCCGCCAGCACCAACATGATGATGATGATGATGATAATGATCATCATCATCATCGTCAACGGCGTCGTTGTCATCCAACGAATTCGCTGATGCTGCACCGTTGTCGCCAAGCGGCTGCGCCTCATGGCAACTATTTTCGCCCGCCCGAACAGAAGTCACCCGAGGGCATTGAACCCGCCACAGCATGTGGAGATGCGGAAATTGTGCACAAAAATATCAAATTTAAAAATTAAGAAAGAAAACAAAAAACTCAAAAGTTACAGAAAAAATACGGATTATAAAAGGGGGGAATGCTTACCGCTCGCCCAGCTGCTGGGCCTCCTTGATCGACTGGATGAAGGCATTGGTCTCGCCCTTGATGAAGTCATTGCTGGCCTCCTTGTCCGCCGGCAGCACCTTCTCGGCCTGCTTTGCCCCGAACACACGCTCATCGACTTCATTGTGGACATTGCCATTGGTGTCCTGGCCATTGGTGTTGGCTTCGGTCAGGGATTTGGGCAGTGGGATTGGCATCTTGTCGGCTGTCTTTGGTGGACTGCTGGGTTTAGGCGGTGGGGTTGGCTTCGGCGGGGCAACCACGGGAGCAGGAGCAGGAGCAGGTTCTGTCTTAGGCTTGGGGGCAGGAGCTTCCTCCTTTGGGGGAACCGGTGCGGGAGCAGGAGTAACAACGGGCGCGGGCTTTGGAACAGGTGCTGGTGCCGCCGCGGCGGGTTTCGGAGCGGGAGCTGGCGGAGAATCCTTGGCGGGAGCGGGTGCAGGTGCTGGAACCTTCGCTGGTGCAGGATTCGCTGGCTTGTCGTCTAACGCTGGCGCTGCAGGCTTGTTAGAATTAAATAACCAAGCTAAACGTTTGCTACAAAAACAAAAGGAAGGAATACAGGGAAAACAGAAGAATAAATAAAAATCAAATCAAAGATAAGCAAGAAAAAACTAAAGTGTAATACAAATAAAGTTAAATAGTGCATGTGTATGTGTGTATGTATGTATGCAAACACATTGTACCGTTTTCTGGAAAGACAACAGCGCACGCCGCACAACTTCTTGTCTTACGAACTTTAGCCGATAACTTAGAAATAAACACGTGAATCATTAAAATATATATAATTCTTTAACAATGAACTGAGCGTCATACGTATGTACATACATACATACATATGTATGTACGCAGCAGCTGCAGCACTTTTTCCACATAAATTTCTAGAAACTTCCAGTGATCAAGCAACGAAGCGTAACGTAAATGGTAATTGCACTTTATACCGAATTTGCAACTATTATTTGACCCACCTTTAAATCTAGGCACAACCCACAGTTGAAATTCACCGATTAGCAACCTTTTTTCAAGCAAATAAGCTGTTTTTTCGTGAAATACACAAATTATAAACTTCCTTAATGGCCGATTGAAAATGTAAAAGGGATAATGCAAAGTGACAAGCAGTGTCACCACACCCAAATTTGCTACTAACTAAACACAGTTAATTATTGACAGCTACTTTTATGGGCAGCCCTGGTTTTAAGTTTAAATTCAAATTTGAAAATGTGATGTTTAATAAAAATGTTGGCAAATCTATAAAAATATTTCACTGTTAGCAGCATAGATAAAACCTATGTATACACTCCTTAAAATCCCCTTAACTAATGTCGTAATAAGTAAAACAAAAGTAATTTTCCCATAACAGGCAACGTAATAGGCCAATTATTTATTTCGCTTGCCCTGTAGGCGTTTCTACTCCCGATAAGAAGGCGTGGCATTGAAATAGGAACATTGTTGTGGGCGGGTTTAGCTCCAATGTGTCGTTATTTAGCACCGTAACCGCAATCCAACCCTTACGTAACTACTTTCTCCACTCCCCCAAAACTAAATACTGTGAAGGGCGCAGAGGCATTTCTCTTGTCACGTAGGCCAAAATGGGCAATATAGCTGGCGAAAAACTCGTGCGGCAAATAGATAAGCAAACAAACGAGCTTCGCTAGCCAGAATTAGCAACAAAAACCCGGCAGAAACGCCGGCTGTTTGGCTGAGAGTCGCTCCAAACTTGCAATTATCACTTTGATTATTACGCTAATTGCCGGCAGATAACAACTGGACGCTCTTGTTTCGTTTCTGTTGCCAAAATTGCGAATCAGCTTTTGGCAAAATATGGCTACTCGTCTGTTTGTGTGTCTGTGCTGATTGCACTTATCACGAATGAGAGTTAGAGCCGCGAAAGCCGGTTGCTGCCGGGAGAATCAATCATGTGACAGAGCTAGCTCGCTGACTAACGTTTGTTGCCAAATGCAAGGCCAAGACGATTGTATCATATATACAGTGACATTTAGCACCTTCCTCAAACCGAAAATCGATCGATTGTGGGATCGTGTGCGGTGAAAGAGCGAAAGATTGGCCTATTTCCGATTAGATTATGGCTTTGGCAAGCGAAACTGTCACAATCCTTATCCCGAAGATTTATGAAATGCAAGAGTTGTACAAGAGAGGAAGTATAGATGGGTATAGATTCTAGGAAGTATTTTATATTAATGTTTAACAGGTTTTTCTTTAAAGTTAGCATAATAAATAGGCTGAAACTTAACTCAATAGACTTCTGGATAAGCATAAGCTTCGAAATTCACTTTAAAATAAATGTATATACATAAAGTCTTCTCTATACAATACAAAGTACAAAAGATTTAGTAGGTAAATTTAGGTTCTTCCAAGAGTATAAACTAGTAAAAATTATACCCTATTCTTTATGAAATATTTCTTGTAAAACAAAAAGTATTCATCCTGGCTTAAAAACTTTTCAGAATGTAACATTTAGAGGATTCCTTTAGTTATTCTAATAAAAACATTTCTTAAAAATCGCTATATTTGTTTTCATTTAGATATAGCTTGCTGCTATCAAACACTTTTGTTGCAGCAAAACTATTAAATTATAATTACTTTTTACTAATTTTACTGTTTTTGTATTTTTACATTAAGTTAAATAAAACCTATTAATTCTAAAATAGATTCCATTATAAATAGTTTATATTAAATTCAATTTATTAAAGTAGTAAGGATATTGAATCCAAGGACCCCTTAACCCATTCCCTTACAAAAAAAACCTCCCCTTACGCGGAACTCTACACATAGAACGCTTCCACAAACATCCCGAAAGTATGCTACAAAATATCACTCATCCGCCCTGTGAGCCAATCAATGCCCATCAAACTGTGGGGCAAACAAAAATTTCCCCCGGCACACTCACCGTATTTCATCGACAGCAAAAGTCAAGTACCACAAGGCGAACATTTTGTATTAGCTGCAAATAATAGAAAATCGATTTAGTAAACCCGCTTATTGAATATTTATAAGGTGCGGCGGCCTAACTTATTTACTATTGAATTTTTCGCGCTCTCCAAATGGCAATTTCCAGTGCACAACACACAACACAGACAGACATGCACTTGATCTGACTCACTGAGACCTTCGAAAAGCGCAACAAATGACGTCGTCGCCGCTGTCGGACAAGTATTGCAAAAAAACTTAACTTAACGTGCCGCTCATCATCATTCTCAGAGTCAATTCCAATTCTCATTTCCAGAGAGTCGGGGCTCAATTAATGCTCGAGACGGAGAGATAAAAAACGTTGAGCCAGCAGTGAAAATATGCCGGCATTATTCAAGGTTTATTTATAAACAAAGCTCGCATGGATGTGATGTGAGTTGCAGCCTATCTGCAAAATGCAAAATTCACAGAGCGCCGGGGGCACGTGAACGTCGCGACTTGTGGGCATTTAGCCAAATATTGGTCATGGCACAGGGAAAAATTGTGATTTATAACTGATAAATAAATGTATAAATAGGAAATATTAAATTATTATCTTAGGCATAAATATGCAATGATTTTCAAGTCTTAAAATGTGCTTTAAAATATTATTTGAAAGATTTATGATTAAGTGTTTCGACATTTTGTTTTTAAAACACAATTAAAATAGAATTTAAATGATTGTCAATTTTAAAGCAATATTCAACACATTTGTAACAATTTATTCTTTCAATTAAATATTCTTTGTACAAAATGGAGAATTTATACAAAATGTAAATTTGTACAAAATGTTAATTTCACAATGGATCTTTATTTTTTCCCGTGCACTGCAGATCGATTTGGTGGGATACGGGGATCTTTTTTTTGCTTTTTGCACCGGCTGGCGCCCATGGGTCGAAAGGTGTCTAAAATTAGATCATTTCGCCATCGATCAATTAGGAGTGCTTTCTTTTTGCGAACCCCTGAGCTTTGTTTATCCCACGGATTTGTGCAAAAAAAATTCGCCATGGAGAGAGCACGGTGTCTTGGTTTGTTTTCCTTTAGCACACGCGGCGTATGAGCAATCTCTGACACAGACACACACACACACACACACACACACCGAAAGTTACATCACAGCGAGCGGCTGAGTGGGTGGCTGTGGGAGGTGACTCTGCATGGATGGATTATTCCCACGTACCTCGGCTACTGTTGCAGCATGCCACACTCACACTCTTGCACTCACACTCAAGCATAGAATAAACAACACACACACGGAAGAGGGTGCTGCACTGGTGACCCCTTCTCCTTCTGCGTGCACTCACCTTTCGGGCCTCCGGTTGGGTAATAAATCAGGCTAGAAAAAAGGTTGCAAAAGCTCCTCGGAGGTGTTTTTCTGCTCTGTTTCGTTTCGAGAACCAAAAAGGTTTGTTTCGTTTTAAATGCTTCTCACACAGCTGAACAAACGGTTCGACCGCCTTCGATTGTACGTTGTTTGATTTTGAGTAAAAGTAAAAAAATGTATTAATTCTCTCGACTATCTGGCCCTCTTGCTGCTTGCCGTTGAATGCCTATTTCAATTATTTGTATTTTTTTTTTTTCGACTGTCGTGCTCCGTGCGAAAATCGACTGCTCAACTGGCGGCAAAAGCGACGAGACTACGGCTACGACGGAGCCCGAGAGCGATGGACGGAGAGAGAGAGAGAGAGAGAGAGAGAGAGTACGGAGAAGACACACACAGAGAGCGCCGACGCCAAATGGTTCCTAGCTGCACTTGCGACAAAGCTTTTCTCACGAGATTCGTCCCCCTTTAATCATTCCACCAAGATTTGGTGGTAGTTACACAGAGAGAAAGTATTGTGGAGAAAGCCTCAATTCTATTTGATACTCTTACCCAAGGAAATATAATATTTAACATTAAATACAAGACACTTTAGGCCTTATAATAATTTGCTCAGAACACATCTCTTTACCTTTCTAAGTTCGGAAACCGAAACACCTCAAAATATATTTAATTCTTCTTAGTTCCTAGACGTTTCTCTACATGTACTTTGGATATTTATTTGCGTGTGCTCACCTCAGTGAGTTTGTTACTCATTCGCTTACGCTATGTCGCGGTAGCTGTGTGTCAATAATCGAGCTAGACCTGGCCAAAAGGCTGGCTAATCAATAAATGAAACATTTAAAATAGATTCTTTTGTGGGGTCAGTTTGGCAGTCACTGGGAGCTGGCGTAATCAACACTTTTCCTGTTTACAAATGCAGTGATTTTGTTGGCCTTGGCCAAAAGCTACCATAGCTACCTGACAACGTTGTTGGTCTGCTGACCGAATGACGCCTTTCGCCGGTTGTCTGTCTAGGGCAAACATGGCCAGATAAGAGTCCAGTCATTCATTCAACGCGTTCTGTTATCTGTTACCTGCAAAGCCCGCTTTATAGGGGCCTTATCCGGCTATCTTTTGGCCCAGTTTGGCAGCCATTGGTTCTGGGAGGATGCAACATTCGTGGGCAGGTTGCATAACAGGGCGAAGGCGTGCAGCTGCTTACATAACCATGAACGAGCAGCGGAAACGGGAGAAACGCACAGAAACAAGGTCAAAAGTTCAAGGACTGAGAAAAGCTCACAGCATCCTGAAGCGCTTGCGTTGCTCACCGGAAGTTACCGGTGTTCCTTCCTCCTCCTGCAAGGATATGCTCTCCTCTGTTTTGTTTTTATTATTTTAAATTATATACTTATTTAATCGGCGCTCCACAAGGTGGCCGCTTGTATAATGCCACCCACGAAGTAGGCTATAAAAATGAGGACCCGCGAGGATTACATTTAAATAATGCCACATCTGTTGCAGAATATTGTAATACAAAATCCATAGGACACCTTTTAAATTTCAAACGTTTTTATTTGTTTTTCAATTGAATGCATGCTTTGCTTGCTACTGTTTATAATTCGGTTTACATAATTCTTGTGTGTTTGCTTAAACTTTAATGATATTGCATATATGCCACACAAACGGTTGTCGTTGGCCTCTGTTTTGTTTTATTTTTTAATTTTTAAGCTTTAAAATCTTGCACAAATCAAAAAACATGGCAAATCAAATGGAAATTGACTTTAAATCAAATTGTGGCTTTCGCTCGAAGCTTCTATATAGTTATGTGCACTCTTTATGTGTGTGTTCAATCTACTACATATCGGTATATATATATATATATTTATATATATAATATAACATTTGATTTATCTCTAATATTCCGCGTGCTGTTCCACTTGAAGCCTTCAAGCTTTGGTACCCGTACCCTCCGGCCTGCTCCTGCCAAGCTAGCTACTACTAGGATCTCCTAGAATTCGCTCTTCATCATCATCTTAGTCGCCTTCCTCTGGTTCCTGGTTCCCCTACCTCTTGGTTTTTTTTTGGAAAGTTGTTAACATTCTTTTGTTGGTCGCACATGTTTCGAGTTGGCTTTTGTCTTTTTGTAGTTGTTCTCTGGTTGTCTAAAGTGTTGTGGTGTTATCTTTGTGTGTTGTTGTTTGCCTTTTTTCTTGGATTTGTTATATCACAGCTTTCTTCACTTTTGCTCTTATAACTTGTAAGCATAACTTGCATATACATATATAAACATTGTTGTTAATGCACGGCTGTATTCCATTTACCTTTACCCCTAAAAGACCCTTTCCTCCTTAGTCGAAAGTGTTGTATCGACAAATATCGGGGCTACTCTTACATATATAACATATATAGTAACACACAGGCTTCTGTTTTGTTTTGGTGTTTTTTTGCTCAACACTTATCATAAACTCGGATGTTCTCTCGCCCGATCTCCGCGGTGTCTCGCTACTCGATCAGTACACACGTTAGCATAAATTGCAATTTGTTTGTGGAATGGTTTACAAAATCGGTTACTGTTCCTTTCGAATTTAAATACAATAAATGGCATATAAAATATATATATTTTTTTGTTGTTGAGTAGTGAGTATTAAAAAAGAACGTTACTCATAGGACAGCAGCGTTGGAAGTGACTCTAGTAGAACAGAAAAACTTAATACTCTTTTCGTTTATGTTGATTGTAATTGAATGAATCCATTGATCGAGGGCCCCCTCTACCTAAGTTTTGGGTTGATCTTATATCTGATACTTTCAATAGCTAAAGGACATCTTAGTTTTTATTTTTGTAGTAAACTTCATTTATAAGGGAGGAAAATATAATTCATAACATAACATAACATAATAACAAATTCATTCATTTCTTGTGTTCAATTTCAACTTACATCACCTCATAATACTAATACAGTTGATATTTAATTTGAATTTTAAGGAAATAACTTTTGTAACGTAGAAAATTAAAAAAACAAAGGAATTTCTTATAATATGAGAGAAAAATCATGCAGATCTTCGCTTTTGTAAAAAAAAAAAGAACAATTATTCCAATAATACATTTAAAATCAGGATTATATTATTTCTTTGTATCTTCTGATGTCTTGTAGATATAGAAAGTCTGAATCCCTAAGGCCCTACCATTCCAATGCTCCCAATACTTTCTATCTTTTTGCTTATTTCGTGCGCTGTCTTGGATCGTATTTGTTCTTGCACAAAGTTGTCCGTTGTCCTTGGAAGCAGCATGACACTTTTATCACATTTGTTGTTGTTGTTATTGGTGTTGTTGGTTGTTGTGTTGGTACGTACTAGACTTAAATTAATTGCCCGGCCACAGGGAAAACATGGGAGCTCTATTGCTCGTCTGAACTCGAATCGAAACATACAATTTACGTTTTCTGTGACCAAAGCATTACAGTTGCTCTTTTTATCTGCTCGACATACATTCTTAGATTGCTTCGCTTTACACTTGATTTGCACTCGTTTTCTTTTACAAATTAATATTCGCTATTGCAGTTCATAACAAAAATTATTACATGCATCGATTGGTTAGATTATTACAAATATATAGAGATGGTCGATTGGATAGTTGCAAGAGTTGTTCTATATCATTGAGATCGCATTCTGTGTTTTCTTTATTTTTGCCCAGAACTCAGAGAACAGTGCACAGTGCCTCCGCCGCGTTGCTCTGACAACCGATCGTTCGGTTCAGTCTTCTGTTTCAGTAGATTTTTTGTGTTTTTCTTTCGATTGTTTTTGTTAGATTTGAGCAAGTACTTTGTGGTTGTTGTTGTTATTCTTCTTCTTTTCTTAAATGCTCAGCATGATCTTCAGGTACCATTGTTGTTGTTGTTGTTGTTGTTGTATCGGTTGTACTTGGTGGTCGGCGGCTAGCAACTCTGGGAGGACGAGCAGCGGCGGTGAGCTTAGTGCTGCTACTGCTTCTTGTTTGTGCAAACATAGGTTAAATATATATAGTACATAGTTGTATAAATTAATGCCTGTGTTACGAAATACTTAAAACTTGGTGTTGGGTTCACATATCCCTGCCTCTGCCACTATCTCTTCTGGCCAACGCATGCACAACAAACACACGGACACGTACAGCAGCCACTATATTATTCCTTAAAGATACGTATATATCTCTGATCTGCTCTGCTCTGCGGCTGATGCTGCTGCTTTGCTGGTAATATCACTTTAAACTACACAAATGGCGGCGCTTAGCGAACGAGGATCGAGCTCTCGTTGGTTGTTACATTTGCTTTTGGTGTTGTTTGTTCTTTTATCACAATTGGGCGCCCGCTTTCGTACTTATTCACACTACTACAAAGGCTTTAACAATTTGTGCCAATTGAGTTTTTGAGCAAACAATTTGACATTGGTCGTAGTTTTGGTTTTACAAACATCTTTCAACACTCTTCTTTCTGTTCCATCTTTTTTTACTTTTAAACTTAGCTAACTAGACAATTCGCTTAACAATTTGTTGGTTGTCGTTTTTGTTTTTTGTATGAGAGTTGGTTGTCGCAATGCTACCCCCACTGGCTGCACTCGCTCTTGCTTGAATCACAGTTGTTGTTGCTTATAAAATGATGTTTCTCTAGCAGATTTCAACAAACTCATCTCGTCGTCGCCCCTTTATATAATATTACATAGACTTGTGGAGTGCTCAGGGTAGTCTAGCACTCCTTGTCGCTACTGCTCGCTTTGGCCTAACAAATTTCGACTTTCATTACGGGGAGAATAAAAACTTAAGAAACGTTTGCTTTACATATAAAAATTTTGATAACTTAGTGTATATAACGGATGCATTGTCGTTTTTGCTTACATATTTTTCACTTGTGTTTCGTTTTAGCTACGTAATTAGGTTTTTCAATTTATAAATTAATTTCTATGCGCTCGACTTGATCACGTGTCATGTTTTTTTTGATTTTCCCTGCACTTCTTCACTTCCCTCCCTTCACTTCACTTGACGACTTTCTTAATTTTTTTCATTTTTTTTTTTGGTTACTCTCTCGACCTCTTGACTTACTAATGGCTTAGATCCTGGCGCAGCATCTCGTACACGAACTGGTCGCGTACCTCATGATCGAAGGCCAGCGATGGCGGCAGCTTATCGGGGGTAATCGGCGACCATTGTTGCCCCAGCAAGGTGCTTATTTCCTGTGAATCGAATACAGATTTCTTAGATTTCTGAAGGATATACTAGCTCAATGCCACTCACCTCATTAAAGGCATTTAGCGAAGCGGCGCTGGTCCAGTCGATCAGAGAGACCTCGAGACGCTTCAGCTGCCGGCCGCGTAGCCGAGCAATGCCCACCAGATTGTGCGGATCCATCATATAGCCGTGCACCACAATCTCCTCGAGGCGCTTGCATCGCCAGGCCATCATGACGAAAGGATCCTGGCGCATGTAGCCATGGCGCGTGTAGTCGACACAGCCGTTGTTCTTGTACGCCGAGTCCACGTATTGGATGCTGCGCAGCGTCTCGCTGTGGTGTATAGACATCCAATCGAGGGCCTCGGCGTTCATCAGCTCGCAGAAGAGCAGCCGCACGTGGGTTATCGGCATGTTGCGACGCAGGACGCGGTGCTGCAGCAACTCGATGGCCTCGTAGGCATACACCAGGGTCAACACCAGCTCAATGCTCGCAAAATGGGCGCTAAAGTGAGCCCAGGCCGACTCCGATACGTCCGGCTGCTCCTCGCTGTCCAGGCCGTGTACCGCGATGAGTAGCTTGCGCAGCGGAAGCACCTGAATCGTGTGCAGCAGCTCGTCGGAGAGCGTGTCGTAGTCGAGAGACAGCACCTGAAGGGCGGCGCACTTCTGCAGTAACGTTGTGTCGAGCGAGAGGATGGGATAGTGACTAGGATCGTACTTGATGCTTGCAAGCGTCAGCTGCAGCAGTTCCTGGGGCTTGCCCATGGCCTTGAGGAAGTCGTGGCCATAGTAGGTGAGCGCCTCGATAGCGCCAAGGTCCAGCAGCTGGCATGGCTGACGCTTGCGGTTGAGCAACAGCTTCAGCGGCTCCACGAAGCATCTGCGGGGGGCACTAAACAGTTAATAATCTACGGGGTTACCTCATATACTCACTGTTCAATGGCCGCCAAGTGCTCGCTGTGCATGTTCCCAATGGCAACGAGGCCCACGTTGTGGGTTTGGAAACGTAATCCCCGGATGTTATCACAGCGTGCCACTCTGCGGAAGATATAAATATTAGTCAAGGACATCAAAGTCAATTTTAAAGAGGAGCTTACTTGTACAGGATGCGTCGCATTTTCTGGATATGAAATGCATTGTGAAAGTCAAAGACCACTATCAGTTCCTTTGCCAAATTGGCCATGGAGCGATGAAAGAAAGCCAATTGATCATCGCAGCCCACATCCAACTGAAAGCGAAAGTTTCTAAAATAGCTGAGGGGGGAAGAGAGTTAAAGCATTAATTAGTATTAAGAATAAATATATATGTTAATTGCTACTGTGAAGACTTTCACCCCATCGAGCGTTCACTGTAAAACCGCAATACTGCCTTTAATGCACTTCCATGTAATACATACACACATACATATGTACATTCATATGTCCCCGTAACAATTGCCATTAAAGGTTACGTGCTTATCGATCAACTAATTAATTAAATGCAATTGGCGAAGCAGGGGAATTCCTCTTATCTTGGACTTTCCCCTTTTTTCAACACTAACATAAACAAAACGGTCCGAGAGCTGTTGTTGTTTGGCCCGCACACACATTGAAACGTTGCCAAGTGCGACGCCCGCGTCAACAAGAGCCCCGTTGGAAAACGTCCATATACATTATGTGGCACTTTCGATTGCTCATGCCTGCACAGATGTTTTCTTGTTTGTTTTATTTACCGAACTTCTATAATATATGGGCGGAAAACAAAGAAACGGATTGAAACATTTTAGCAACAGCACTCACTCACACACACACGTACACCTGGATCTACAAAACACGCTCATACATGCACACCCACATTGAACTAACCGTTTCTGAAAGAAGGAAAGTCTCCAGGAATAGCAAACACTGGACGCCGCCCGTCGATCGGCTGGCTGAAGATAGTCGAAGACTTGATTTAGAGCCACTGCTGGAATTGTGTGCCATTCTGCTTGGCGTTGGCTAAAATTCATTACTCGTATTAAATATTGCGTTTCAAACGGAAAAAGTTGCAAGTGCAGAGTTAGGGATGTGAAAAATATATCAAAATATCAATGTATCGATATTTTTGTGTAGAAAAAGAAATATTGTTATCGTTATCCGATTTGGGCCGAACATATTAATTTTTAAATATTTATAAATTATTCTAACACGCCTACTTTTTCATTTATTTTATCTACAGAAAACTATATATAGGAGAAATGAACAAAGATGATTTTAAAGAGATAAACAGTGATTTTCTTTGCCAAGTCTGGCAGCTCCAAAATCACATATGATTTAAAAGATATGTCCGTCAAACTAATTTTTAATTAACTTCGTAATTAAGGCACTAATTCGAATAAAATAAAGTTTCTAAATGCTAAAAAATTAATTTCCTATTGTTTTTAACTGGGTTTGAAAGTATTTGATATTTGGATATATCAAAAACAAAAGCATATGAAAAATCGTGATTTCACGGATTTCTTAATATCTCGGCTTATCAAACGCGTGCAGAAATATCCAATACGCCAAAATAAGAACATTTATAGAAGTTTTACCCTACAAAGTTTCAATTTCTTCAAACCGTCAGTTTTTGAGCAAATCGCATAACAGTGATCTAACCTCGGGTCAGCTCCCTACAAAATAGTGCATCCAAAATTGTAAGGCTTTTAACTTCGATATACAAATGCGTGCACATATGCACGGTATATAGGCTTACTAGGGAAAGATTAACGAATATTTAGTGAAAATTTCAATTGTTTTTAACAGTCAGATTTTGAGAAAATCGAATAACAGTGGGTGGTGTATTCGAGCTGATAGCTAAGGCGCGAACTATGAAAATGGAACCAGATGGAAACCAGCAGAGAACCACTCGCTGAAGCAGACCCTGGAACCATGGTAAGAAAAATACTAAATTAAATAAAAATGGCAAATTGTTAAATAAAACATTAAGACAAGTGACTGCCCAATAAATGGAAAAGTCATTCAAAACAATTTGGTGGGATTTTCATCTAAATCACGGAAAGATTATTTTAGCATATACCACGGCGGAATGTAATGCCTCTCTTACCTTAAATGAGCGCGTGCAAGCTTGCACGGTATATCAAACGATTGGGAAAAATATTCTATAATTTCAAATTAAACCTCTATTAATCTCTATAATCTAACCCATGGATTTTTAGAAATGAGCGTTTTCTTTTTCCGATCTTATTCACAAACACTGGCTTCATATCGATGAATAGCCGGCCAGAAAATATTCCTATTCACCATTTACACAATTGTATGAAATATGCCTGCCCCATGAATGGAATTGGCATTCCAAGCGTTTTGGTAGTTGTTTTATCAAAATCCGTTAAGTCGTTTATGAGAAAACCCCACTTTTGCATTTATTTTCATAAATGTTCCTACGAAGAATAAATATATCTGGCAGCACTGTCTTCCTAAAATTAAGTCAATTTCATTTTAACTTTATTAAAAAACTTATGCAATCTGAAGATCGTACCACTAACGGGATCGCAATTCTGAACATTTTAATCCACGTTTCGTCAAAATCCGTTTAGTCGTTCATAAGAAATCCCGACTTTTTCATTTATTTCCATTTATTTGCCAGTGAAGAATAAATATATCCGGCAGCCCTGCCTGGCTAAAAACAAGAAAACTTGATTTAAACTTTATGGTTAAGCATATGCAAAAGGAAGATTGTCCCATAGACGGCATTGGAGTTCTGAACATTTTGATATATGTTTCATCAAAATCCGTTCAGTATTTAATGAGAAATCCCAACCTTTCATTTATTGCAGTTGGGTACCAGGGGTGCATAGTCATGCCTCCTTAGTACATAATTTAATAATTCAAATGTTAATTTCTCCAAAACTACTGAACGGATTTCGATGAAACACCTACCAAATTGCTTAGAATAACGATATCATTTATTGGGTTGACTATTAAATCTTATTTCGAAAATTTGCTTTTCAAATCTAGTGCTTCAATGCCCTTGCTTTGTAATATGATTTCAGGTCAAAAATTTGCAAACACAGTAAATAAATTATTTTCGACCCTATAAAGTATATATATTTTTGATTAGGATCAACAGCCGAGTCTATCTAGCCATGTCCATCTGTCTGCAGTCACTTATTTTAATGATTTATTCAACAATTTTGCAATTTTTATTTAATTTAGTATTTTTCTTAACATTTCCATGGTTCCATGGAATGGTTCAGCGAGTGGTTCTCTACTGGTTTCCATCTGGTTCCATTTTCATAATTCGCGCCTTAGCTATCAGCCCAAATACACCACCCACTGTTATTCGATTTTCTCGAAATCTGACTGTTAAAAACAATTGAAATGTTCACTAAATATTCGTTAATCTTTCCCTAGTAAGCCTATATACCGTGCATATGTGCACGCATTTGTATATTGAAGTTACAACCCTTACAATTTTGGATGTACTATTTTGTATCAAGCTGACCCCGAGGTTAGATCACTGTTATGCGATTTGCTCAAAAACTGACGGTTTGAAGAAATTGAAACTTGATAGCGTAGAACCACTATAACTGTTCCTTATTTTGGCGTATCGGGTATTTCTGCACGCGTTTCATTAGCCGAGATATTAAGAAATCCGTCAAAACACGATTTTTCACATACTTTATTTAATATCAAATACTTTCAAACCCAGTTAAAAACAATAGTAAATTAATTTTTTACCATTTAGAAACTTTATTTTATTCGAATAAGTGCCTTAATTACGAAGTAAACTAAAAATTAAAGATCCCCTCCGTTTTCCATTTTCCCACCGTTCCATTTCGACGCTAATTTGACGGACATTTTAAAAATTGTATGGTATATTTAGCCGCTCCAAGTGCGGTCACATTGTTATTCAGTCAGCTGTTGTCTGTTATGCATTTTATATTGTTTACATCGCGATTTATTCGAATTTCACGATTAAATAATGGCAGCGCTGCTGCTCTACCGTGCCTGCAGGAGGCCAATCGTTGCTGGCATCTGTAAATACTCATATCCTGGAGCTACATTCCAAAATAACACTCAAAATCACCGCCCGGCATCCACGGAAGCGGCTGTGACGGCGGCGACAAGTGTCCAACTGGCGAATGCCAGCGGTATGGTGGGATTCTGGCAAACTTTATCGAACAGCACTCCCGTGGCTTATATGCAGGATGCCCTCATCCAGATACATGACTACAGTGGCCTGCCCTGGTGGGCCTCCATTGTGCTGTCCACGTTTCTGTTTCGCAGCATTGTAACCTTGCCGCTAACCGTTTACCAGCACCGGATCACGGCCAGGATCGAGAAGATAGCGCTGGAAATGCCCGCCATTGTGGAGGAGCTAAAGCGAGAGGCGGCGGTGGCCAAGCACAAGTTCAAGTGGACTGATAAGCAGACGCAGGTCGTCTACCAGCGTTCGGTTTGTGGCAATAAGAACTCTTCTTTTTTTGAGCCAATCCTAACACATTATATTCTACAGATAAAGAAGCAGTGGCAGAAACTCATAATACGCGACAACTGTCATCCCATGAAAACCCTCATCGTGCTGTGGGGCCAGGTGCCGCTGTGGATCTTCCAGTCGGTTGCGCTGCGCAATCTAGTCTACTTGCTGCCGGATCCCACGAGTATACAGGCCCAGATTGTGGCCACAGAGATGACCATTGGGGGATTTGGTTGGATACCCAACCTCACAGTAGTGGACAGCTCTTATATTCTGCCAGTGGCCTTGGGGCTTATTAACTTGGCCATCATTGAGGTGCAGTCCATGTCCCGTACACGTCCTGCCACCCGGCTGCAAAGTGCGATGAATAATGTATTCCGAGGCCTGAGCATTGTGATGGTTCCTGTGGCCTGCACGGTGCCGTCAGCACTGTGTGTTTACTGGGTAGCTTCCAGCAGTTTCGGCCTCGCCCAGAATATGCTGCTTCTCTCGCCGGAAGTGCGACGATCTGTGGGAATTCCCAAGACCCAAACGGAACTCGATCAGCCGTACGATCAGCTCTGGTTGAAGATTCAGCAACGGGTCGGATTGGTGGAGCAGTCTTCACCTGCTGATAAGCCTCAGCCGCCGGCGACCAAATGATGTAGTCTAATTTAACTTTTAGGTAAGACGTTGAGTTTGTTTTTTAATGCGTTTGCAGTTATGTAAATATAGACAACCCTTAAATACGACTGCGCCACTGTAAATCATCATCATCATCATATTCAGTACCCCAGGGGCAGCATCATCTCGATTTCCTCGAAAGCAAATAAACGAGTGAAAACCCCCAAAAGAAAAGGCAAATAAAATAGGGGGACGAGGAGATAAGGCGGCGAGAAAGGTCTTGAGATTAGTAGCGGAGATAGTGGTACGTCCACTCAATTGGCTCGGCGACATCTGAGAGCATCTCTATCAGCGGCAGCAGCGGTGGGGATACAGACTCATCCCGAGCCCCAATTGAAATGCGATCTTGAGGTCTGAGTCAGTCGAGCCTGGCACTTGGACGGGATCACAACGAAAAATATTGAAATTCGTGCGCGTTTTCGAATACAATTGCTATCAGCATCGGTGCTATATTGAAAATACATCTATATATAAAGCGAATACAGCTAAATCTGAGGATAATGGCCAAGTGGGCCATCCTGGGCCTAAGCCTGGCGATCCTTTTAGTGGATGTTAGTATTCTATATTGAAAGATCAAGTTTCTATTAGGATCAAGTAAAACAAACTATAAATTCCGGTTTTAAAGTAAAGTTATTATCAAATAATCTTGTTAAATATTGAAACTTGTATATATAATTAGTTTTTTTTTTGCAGTTTTTAATTTAAATATTATCTCAAACCTCAAGTACATGTTCAAAACCCAAAATTGATCCTAATTATAAGCTTTAGCACTAAAGATCGCTCATAATTGCTTTCAATTTTGCAATAATATTTCATAATTGTGCTTGCGCAGCGACCCGGGGTTATAGCTTATCGATCAGGAGTCAGCGGTTACCGGAGCGGCACTCAGCAGTCGGAACAAGCGGGGTTATCAGCAGCATACTCGGGGCACTCGGCTTATGGAGGAGAACAGCAGCAGCCTATTTACCAGCGGGAATCGGCTTGTCCGCCAAATTTCCAGGGTCTAGTGGCCTATCCCCATGACTGCCATCGCTTTGTGAACTGCAACGGAGGCAGCGCCACAATCCAGACCTGTTCACCGGGAACGCTCTTCAATCCCAAGACACTGCAGTGTGATCATCCCACCAATGTTGAATGCTCGTCTGCAGGAGGAGGAGCTGTTGCTCCAGCGGAAAGCACTCGATTAGGACGATTGAGGCAATTGGACAGCGATCCCAAGTGTCCGAATGGAGTGAACGGATTGCATCCGCATCCAACTGATTGCACCAAGTTCCTTAATTGCGCCAATGGACATGCCTTTGTTCAGGACTGCGGACCAGGAACGGCTTTCAATCCATCAATGCTCGTCTGTGTACACAAAGGCACCGTCGATTGCGGCGTCAGTGGAGGAGCTGGAGGAGGAGCATCAGGATCATCGGGCCACGGTACGTATAAGTAATGTATATTGTAAATGTTTAACTAACACACGGGTCAGCCTATTCGGCGGTGTCCTCGGAACAGCTGGGCTGTCCGCCCGGCACACGGGGCCTCCATCCGCATCCCCACGATCCGCACCAGTATCTGCGATGCGGCATCGGTGTCCAGCCTCAGGTGGAACAGTGTCCACAGGGTCAGATCTTTGATGGCTTCAGATTGGTATGTGTTTACTCAGGCTCCGCTCAGACCTCCTGTAAGTTCGTTTTCATTTCTTATCCTGCCTGCCTGCCTTTGCTTTGCTGGTTTCATTCTGCTTATACATTTCTGGGTTTCTTTCTCATCCTGCGCTTTGGGTTCATGCTTTGCTACTTTTCTTTTTAAATTCTACTATATTCTTCCTGTATATTTGAAATCCTAATCCTTCTGCATTATACCAGCTTCCGCTTTAACCTCTGCGGCGCTTCAGGTGAATTATCTCCTGTGTCCCGTGGGAGCTGTGGGTCTGTTCGTCCATCCCTTCGACCAGACCAAGTTTATAAACTGTAAGGTTAACATGGTACAAAGCTGTCAGCCCGGTTATGTGTTTAGCATATCGAGGGGATACTGTCACCCCAAATCGCAGCTGGTGGTCACCGATTATGTCACCTTAATTGTCTCACTGATCAGCCTTGACTATTGTAAGTCGATTGAAATGTCCTTTAAACTCCACTGCATTAAGAAATTCTATTAGCCTCTATTTTAACTGCCTGTCCGGGCAACATCGAGGGGTATCATCTGTATCCCTATGATGCCGGCAGGTACGTTCAGTGCTCGGCTGGCGGCCGGATGTCCATCTTGAGCTGTGATCCCCAGAAGGCCTTCAGTTTGTCCCAAAGAGCTTGTCTCCCACGTCATCAACTAAACCATGCAGATCGGGTCAAGTACTGGGAGGAGATTCAGGTTCAGACTACGACCACTTACTATCAGGACAGTCAGGGCCGGTCGCAGAGCCAGCTTTCCTCCCTCAAGTGGTGTCCATCTAATGTCCGAAAAAACTATGCCTATCCCTTCCATGCTGGCCACTATATAAAATGCCAGGATGGTGCCCTGGAGATTGTTTGTTGTCCCACGGGAACACTGTTCAGTCTCTCTCAGCGCGAGTGTGTGGCTCGACACCTTCTCGCCACCCATGACTACCTGGATTACGCCTATATCAGTGTCCAGTTTTCGAGTAAGCCCTTAGAGGAGCTTCTTTCAGATTTACTCCTATTAATAGCCCCTATCCCTTCACAGCTGAAAATATAGTGGATTTATCGATGGTGACTTGTCCTCCCCAAACCGAGGGTTATTATCTGCATCCCTTCGATTGCACCAAGTACATCAAGTGCTTCAATCAACAGACCTACATCGAGAGCTGTCAGCAGGATGAAGTTTTCAGCATTCCACAGCAAAGGTGCTTGCCCAAAGATGAGGTCAAGAAGCCCAACGAACGTGTGGAATATCTGATTGAGACAACGGTGACCACAACTCATCAGATGACAGCACCCATAGAAAAGGAAAGGAGCTTGGACTATGGCGGGGATATTAACTGCCCGCCAGGTGTTTCTGGCCTTCATGCCCATCCATTCGATTGCACCAAGTTCCTGGAATGTGCCAATGGATTAACTTATGTCAAGGATTGTGGACCGGGAACTGCATTTAGCACTGTGAGTTCCACTTGTGACTTTGCCAATAAGGTGGACTGCAGTGGCAGAAGCTCTTCGGCGGGATTAAACCAACTCAACCAGGGTCATCCAAGTCCAGGTTATCCAACGGGTCATGCCCAGACTTACTCACCACCACAGACTGCCAGTAAGTCGTTGTTCCATAGGGTATTACTTGTTCGATTCACCTGCTTGTGCATTTGGGTTTGGTTCTCCATAAAGCTACCATCTTTCGCTTGCCTGGTTTAAATTAAGATGTAATGCCTGTGTTCCATCCTAGACAATCCCCCTCCAACTGCCGAACATCTGTCAGACCTGTTGTGTCCACATGGGGCAGACGGTCAGTTCGTGCATCCCTTTGACCAAACCAAGTTCCTTCTGTGCAAGGCTGCCAAACTGGCAGTGCAGAGCTGTGAGCCTGGTCATGTGTTCAGCATATCTCGGGGAAATTGTCAGCCCAAGACGGAGCTAAGCTACACCGACTATGTCTCCTATGTGGTGTCTGAGATTAGCTATGAGCTATGTAAGTCCTGAGACTAGGTATCCAGCATAAGACTTTTAACATTTCGATCTCCCAGCCATGATCCTCTCCGCTTGTCCTGGTGGCACCGATGGTCTTCATCTGTATCCCTACGATGCCGGAAAATATGTGCGTTGTTCCGACGGTGGCAAGATGTCTATTCTCAGCTGTGGACCCCAAATGGCTTTTAGTTTGTCCCAGCGCGCTTGCCGTCCAAATCGTCAAGTAACAAGTAGAGACCGTGTGAAATTCTGGGAGGAAGTGCAGACAACGACGACAACAACTTACACCTATCAGGACACTCAGGTTCACCAGTCGCCCCTCAGAGGATGTCCGCTGAGCCTCCAAGGCAACTTCCCCTATCCTTTTCATGCCGGTCACTTTGTCAAGTGCCAGAATGGTCTTCTCCAGGTTGTTTGTTGTCCCTCGGGCTCTCTGTACAGTCTGTCCAAGCGTGAGTGCGTGGCAAGACACCTTTTGCCTCTTCACGACTATCTGAATCATGCCTACATCAGTGTCCAATTCTCGAGTAAGCTTCTCTCTTAATGATCTTCCAAGTGGATACTAGGTGACCTTTCCATCCGCAGCTGACTTCATGCAGGACCTCACAACGCTGACGTGTTCTCCCCAAGCTCAGGGCTACTATCTGCATCCCTTCGACTGCACCAAGTACCTAATATGTAGGGACCAACAGACCTCCATTGGAAACTGTGACCAGGGTGAAGTGTTCAGCATCTCCCAGCGAATGTGCGTGATCAGGGGTAAGGTGACCGATTCCTTCGATCGGGTGGAGTACTTAGCCGAGACACAGCACGAATTGAGCCAGGAGGCGGAAGAGGAAGGCGAGCAGGGCAGAAATGGAGGATATTCCTCAAATGGAGGATACCAGACACCACCTTACTCTCACGGCTTAATACCACAACCTGGTCAACCCCCTGCTAAGCTAACTGGAGATTATCAGCCGCCAGGATACCAACCTTCAACTGGAGGATACCAACAACCCCAATATTCCGCAGGTTACGAACAGCATACTCAAACTTCTGGTGGTTATCAGCAGCCTCATCAATTCACTGGAGGCTACCAAAAACCTTCTCAAGCTTCTGGAGGCTACCAACAGTCTTCTCAGTTCACTGGCGGCTATCAGCAAACTCATCAATCTCCTGGAGGTTACCAACAGCCTTCTCAATCTACTGGCGGATATCCACCATATTCTCAAAACAATGGTGATTATCAATGGTCTTCTCAAGCACAAGGTGGAGCTCATGGCGGTTCTGTAATCAATGGAGGATACCAATCGAGTAATCAATTAACTGGAGGATATCAATCAGCTGGCGGAGCTTCTTATTATCCCGGAGGAGTACAGCCTTCAGCTCCTCCGGCTCTTTTAATGTGTCCGCCGAGAGTAAGCGGTCTGTTCCCAAATCCCTTCGATGCCATGGGTTATCTGACCTGCCTTGAGGGTCACACGCTGGTCAGGCAGTGTCTGGCCCTCGATGTGTTCAGCATTTCGCGCGGCTACTGTCTGCCCGAGCAGCTGGTGGCCGCCACAGACCGCATACCGTTCGTAAAGAAGCAAGCCGAGCAGGAGGATCGTGAGTGAAGGAGAACCTTGGCTAAGAACAGCTCCTGATCCATCTTACTTTGCAGTTCTAGGCTGTCCCCGCGGGGCCATTGGTTTCTATGTGTATCCCTTTGACTGCTCTCAGTACCTGAGCTGCGGTCCCAATGGCATGACTTTGATGAGTTGTCCGGCGGAGCAGCACTTCAGTGTGTCCCATGGCATTTGCAAGCCACAGGCTCAGGTGCAGCGGGAGGATCGTTTGTACACGCTCAGTGAGCTGCACATTATCTACGATTGGACTCAAAAGATGATGGCCGAAGGCGCTGTGCCTGCCTGTCCCGAGGGCATCACGGGCTCCCTGCCACATCCCCGGGTGTCCAGCAAATATCTTCGCTGCGAGCCTGGACACGCTGAGATCTTCGATTGTCCTAGCCAACAGATTTTCAGCGTCTCGCGCAGATTGTGTGTGCTGGATGAGAAGCTGCCGAGCCACGATCGCTCCGATTATCTGGTTCGGGGAGAGGGCACCTCCGGTGGCTGGATAGCTCCCTCCAATGGTTACTAATCCCTGGGACCAAGTCTCGCACTTTTTAAGACTCTCTCTCTTCTTTTAGACAATCGCCAATCGAAGTCCTACGAGACCTCTGGCAGGGATCAGTGGGGCAATCGGTACACAACCAAAACGACGACTACAACTCGTGTGATCAGCGATGGAGACCGCTGGAGGGACATGAATATGCAGCGACCAGCTGGCATTGGATTGGAGCAGAATCCCCATCATCAGCAAGGATCCTGGTCTGGACAGGAAAGCTCCTACGTACAGCGTGGACCCTCCCAAAACGTTTTATATGTAGAGGGATCACTGCAGCCGAACCGTAATTATCATAGTACCTATAAGACACCACTGGCTCCCATGGCACCAATAGCACCCAGCAATCCCGGCAAGGTCTACTACGCCCAACCCGTTCAGGAGGAGGATGACAAGCCAGTTCCATCTCGTGAAGGGTATAGCCGCAGAATTGAACACGGCTCGCCTGGAAACGGCTGGCATCCCATGCCTCCACTGGCTCCTCTGGGAGGACAGCGACCCATAAATCCCGCCTCTCCTGGTGCTAGTCGAGAACCCGCAAACTATAATCCTCCTCTGCCCGGACAGAGGCCCCTTGACTTGGACTATGATGACCAACAGAAACCCCAAGATCCCTATCAGGGACCGCCACCCTTACCGGGATCACCGCCTCGCTTTTATCCTGATCAGTTGCCAAGTGGCTCTGCTCCAAGTGGTAGCCGTCAGGCACCAGTTCCTTCTAACTATGATCCTAGGAGACCGGAGAATCCCCAGGAATCCCTTGCTCAGCCAAGCTCTGGGTTGCCCTTGGCAAATGAATCTAATTTATATGGTGGCCTCTTGCCTCCTAGAGCAGATCCTCCTTCTGGTTTAAAACCTACTCCTCTTCCAACACCCACAACAACATCTACCACTCCCTTGCCGCAGTTGGGAAGCAGACTTCACACCTTCCCTATTTATCCAGCACTGGGTAATGGAACTGCTCCTCCGCGGAATCCTAGTCACCCGCATTATAGTCCCTCCTATGCTGGGATTTCGCACTCGCGAAATGCTTCCTGGGCAAAAGTCCCACCTGTGGTAAGTACGACGCCGTCTCATGAGCTCGATCCCTTTAATCCCGAAGAGGAGGAGCCTTTCTATGACGACGATGATTTTACAACCACAACACAGCGAAGTGCTTTAGTGCCAGCTCCCTTTGACCACAAGTTTTATAATCCCAATTCTGGGCAGTCTCCGGCGGGCAGTGATCCCAACTCCGAATTGGCCATGAAGGAGGCTCTCAAGCTCATGCTGCGTCCCTATTTTAATCACAGTGGCAATGCTCAAGAGCAACTAGCCAAACAGGCTGAATCCGCCATTGTTTCCGTGATTAGCAAGCCACCAACCACAACTCCCAGCACAACCACTACCACTACCCGGAGAACCACTCCTACCACCACCCGGAGCACCCCTCCAATTCCTTTCTCTAAAACCGACTTAGACTACGACGCCGAACTGATCAAAGCCGGGGAACAGGAGAGCCTGGACTCCGTTGACGACGACTATGTTTTTCCAGATGCCAGGGAGACGGCCCGAACCGAGCAGACCCTAAATCCCAGTACCACGTACTCCTCGACAGACTTCCAGCGGAGCACCCGCCGAGCCAGGATTGACACAACCCCGACAACCACAACGACGACGGCAAGAACCAATTGGCATGCGCCCGGTCACAGTCGTGATTACCACCAGCGCCATCCAAATCTACCCGATCCGTTCTCCAAGCACTATCCCAACCACAATTCCTATCCCTTGAACCACCACCATCACCACGAGCACCACCATCCCCATCATGAGCACAGTGCCGACTTCCATCGTCGCCATCCAGAGCTGCCCAATCCGTTCCCGAAACCCAATGAGCCTGACCAGCACCACCAGCCGGAGGAGGAGCAAGAGGAGGATTGGGAGCCCAATCCCAATGCCGAGGAAGTGACTCCCAAGCTTAGTGTACGCTCAAGTTTCGTTGATGACTGTGAGTTTGATTGTGGAAATGGCAAGTGCCTGAAGAAGGAGCAGGTCTGCAATGGCCAAAAGAACTGCGACAATGGAAAGGATGAGCTCAATTGCCCGCCCAGGGACTACGAGGTGCGCTTGACGGGCGGAGAAAAACCTCACATGGGTCGCATCGAAGTCAAGGGTGAGTTGATTTCTTGGTTTTATCTCTTAAACTTCACTGAAACCTCTGAATCCTTATCCAGCTAATGGCCAGTGGGGCTATGTTTGCGATGACAAGTTCGGCCTTAAGGATGCCGATGTTGTATGCCGGGAACTGGGTTTCCCGATGGGCGCCCAGGAGGTGCGCGGTAACTCTTTCTATGCTCCGCCAAATCAGGACTTTAACTATGTGATGGATGAGGTCGAGTGTCGCGGCAACGAAACGAAGTTGAGCGAGTGCCCCTTCAAGGGGTGGGGCGTTCACAACTGTGGCGTCGACGAGGTGGCGGGCGTCATCTGCAAGGTGCCGGTGATGAAGTGTCCCAACAACTACTGGCTGTGCCACACCTCCAAGGAGTGCATACCGCCGGCCTTTGTTTGCGACAACACCGAGGATTGTGCGGATAAGTCAGACGAATGTGCTGCCGTCTGTCAGGTGGGTTTGCCATTAGGTTCTCCATGGGGGAAACTACGAGTAATAACTCTTTGAGACTGGAGGAGAAATAGAGGGCGAATATGAGTGATATATGAAAACTAGTAAGACTGAATGTGAAATTTTTAAAATTAAATGTTTATCTCTCTAGATATTATTTTGATATATTTCTATCATTTATAATAATCCTTACCTTATCCTTATAGGCACCTATTCAGTACCGTTTGGAGGGTGGACGCAGCCCCACCGAGGGCCGTCTGGAGGTCAAGTATCATGGCGTCTGGGGCAGTGTTTGCGATGATGACTTCAATCAGAAGTCTGCCCAAGTGGCCTGTAACTCCATGGGTTTCTATGGACCAGCGGTGAGAATTTTGAAGTCTATCCGAGAGTTCCAAGAAAAACAAAACCTTTTTAATGACTCCTCCTCAGACCATTGAGAAGAACATCTTTGGCAATGGCAACGGACCCATTTGGCTGGATCAGGTGATGTGCTTTGGCAACGAGACGGGCATTGACAAATGTAGCCACTGGAACTGGGGCGAGAACAACTGCAATCACACTGAGGATGTGGCCTTGCACTGCACCGCTGGACCACCACCGCGTAGCCAGAAGTTGTCACAGAATCCCATCAAAGGCGGCCGACAGGAGAATGTTGAGAAATCGTACAACCAAATCGGGTTATGGGAGCGTTCCAGTAAGGCTCTGCGCACTCCCCGTCGCTGTGGTATCTTCAAGGACGATCTGACCGATGAGTATGCCCATCACGAGGAGCGCGTAGTCCGTGGAAATGTGGCACAGCGTGGTCGTCATCCATGGCAGGCCACCATCAGAACTCGGGGACGCGGTCACATCTCTAGCCATTGGTGTGGAGCTGTGGTAATCTCCAAGCGGCATCTCCTCACCGCTGCCCATTGTGTGTATGGAACGCAAAAGGGAGCGTACTTTGTACGCGTTGGAGACCATTATGCCAACATAGCGGAGTCCTCCGAAGTGGACACATTCATTGAGACCTGGTACATACACGAGGAGTTCCGCAAGGGAACGCACATGAACAATGATATTGCCTTGGTTGTACTGAAGACTCCATTGAAGTTCAGTGACTATGTCCAACCGATTTGCCTGCCGGAGAAGAATTCGAAGTTGGTGGAAAACAGAAACTGTACTATTTCCGGATGGGGTTCCATTAAAGCAGGAGTATCTAGTAAGGAAGTTGTGGGATTTATTAATGAATTCCCTCATTAATATGTATTATATTTATTTTCTTGTAGCTCCTGCCCAAGTGTTGGGCTCAGCTGAGCTGCCCATTCTGCCGGATCATGTCTGCAAGCAATCAAATGTGTACGGCTCTGCCATGTCAGAAGGTGTGTGGAAATTAAACTATTATAATTACTGAAACGTTCGATAGACTCTGGGATTGTGCGCATTAAACTAGTTTGTTCAGGAATTAATCCCACTTAATTTTCCACTTAATTTCAGGCATGTTTTGCGCCGGCTCCATGGACGAGAGTGTGGACGCCTGCGAAGGTGATTCAGGCGGTCCGCTGGTCTGCTCCGATGATGGTATATAGATCTTCTTATATATTTTATTTATAATTCAGATAATCTTAATATTATTTTCCTATATTTATTCGCAGATGGCGAGACCTTGTATGGCCTGATATCGTGGGGTCAGCACTGTGGCTACAAGAACCGGCCAGGCGTCTATGTTCGAGTCAATCATTATATCGATTGGATTTATGAGAAAATCAATGAAAGCTTGCAGCGTTTCTAAAAGGAGTTTCCATTAATAATTTCCTTCATTTTACATGACCAATATTTTATAAGAATTTTGTAGAGGAATTGCAAAATAAATCAGAATTTTATGAAAATGATTTAAATAAATTTGTTATTACAATGGGAATTGAAATTATTATAGACACCACAAATGCTCATAGTATTTTTTATTAGTGTCGGAACTATTTTAGTGTAAATAATAATAAAGTTATTAAAGTTATTACGCTTTTTATGGCTTAATGGGAGCTGGCTACTTCCTATCATTTTATACAAGTTTGAAATGTTTTAGCAGCTATATGATATATTATAGAAAGTAATTTTCCTAGTTGGAACTTACCGCAGTAAAGGCCAAACAATTATCCTTCTACACCTCGCTGACTTGGCTGGGGTTCATCAATGATTAAATCTTTAAGTAAGAGTTATATTATTCAGTTTCCAGTAAACCGAGACTTCTACGGGTTATCCAGTTGGGTTGGGATGGAGTTATCACTGTTATCACTGACACTATAGATGTTACCAGGAAGGAAGCCGCCAACAGACTGAGGCAGGCGCGAGGATCGTGCCTCTATTTATACCCCCTGAGTATGTGGATAAGAGCAGAGCGAGAGAGATGCTTACAGAGAAATGGAGAGAGAGAGAGAAAGCTAAAGAAATGGCGAGTTAGACACAGGTGCAAAGAGAGAGATAGAGACATACAGTGCTAGAGCAGAGCTGACAGCAAGTTAGAGATAGAGAGAGGGAGAGAGAGAGAGATAGAGAAATGTATATTGGGGGATTGTGAAAAAGAGGGGATCTATCGAAAGAGCCGGAGAAATATCTTGGATCGGGAGAGATACCCAAAAAAACTTATAGTAAACCATAACAAAGCTGAACGGTACCTATAGATATACACAATAAAATACAATATATTTGCATATATCCAAGTTAGATATTACATGCTCCTAAAGCAGCAAACCATATGATATAGAAGTCCGATTTTAATAAAATTAATTCCAAAACATGGCATATTGTTCTGTCTAGCATAGTAATGTTTTAAACATTTAAACCCTTTTAAGGAACATTTTAAAGGAAGACACCTTATTTAAAGATATATTTTAAACTTAATATAAATATATATAAATAAAATTTAAAATTCAAAATTCTCTCACAACATTTAATGTTTTTCCAAGTCAATGAGAGCCCTCTTAATTATATAAATTTACATGTATCCATTAGTGACTGGCAGCCGGCACTCCACATTTATTTGCTCACACGAAAAGAGTGAATTAAATCCATAATTAATGCTAATAAAACGGACAACAACAATGCAAACTTTTGCCGGGAGAACTCACAACACACAACAACTTGGGATGACAATGATTTAATTCACAAGTCTGCAGTGCTCATCCAGCAGCTACTACTCATCCCATTCAGAGAGCTGGGAATCCGACTCACTCGGTTCTCACCGAGCTGGAGCAACTGCCTCGTTCTGCTTTTTGGGCCATCATCAATTGCTGGTCACTCAATTGACACCGGACACCAGCGGGGTCAAAGGGGAGATCAGCAGTTGGGCTGCAAAAGGGGGCTGTTTACGCGCTGCGTTCGAGTTTTACTCGGTTTTTCGTGTGTGTACTGTGTGTATTGTGCGGGCGTTGCACGCGCGATTGGATGATCGGCCTGGAAAGCGCTACAATTAACTTAATTAATACAACAATTTGCCCCGAAATGCACTGGAAAAAAAGAACATAAATATGTTTAAAGTTTATGCAAATTTTGGGAGAAGTTTAGGAAAATTTAGGGGTAGATATGAAGGATAGTTGAGAAACTAAACAATAAACTAGCTTAATAAATGCTGTATAAATTGCATTACTGCATGCCAGCTTATATTTATGATTTTTTTTATAATAAAAGTATAGTACATTTTAAAATTAAATATTAATTGTCAACATTTTGGTTGTCATAAAAATATTTTTTGCTTTTCAAACTTGTCAATAACGAAGTTCTTTATCACTTTAAACTCCTTTATTTAAAACTTTGATTAAGAACCTCTTACACTATTAACCAGCCTAGAGAAATTGTTTTAGAAAATTAAAACTTTTTAATATTCTAGTAAAAAAACGTAATAAATTTACTATAAATTAATATTAAAAATGTATACTTCTTAAAGAAAGGCTCATTATTTGAAAACACAAATTATGGAACTTATAAATTAAAGGCCTTAGAATAAAATATAAACCAACATATATAACCTCATATTTTGTCTTTAAATTTGTTAAAAATGCATCTTTATTCCCTTTAATTTAATGCTGTGAATATAGAAGCTTTTTCCAAAACAAGTTATTTATACTTTCTGATGGATGCAGCTATGATTAGCTCTTGTTTATTATGGTTTATGATGACCTAACAGGCTAAATATAAATATTATATCAAAAACTTGATTTGTTAAATGAAATACAGGTTTTAGATTTATTATTTTTGAAGTAAAGTAAGGTAAAATACTAGACTGCTTCTTATTTATATCTATTTATATCTAATATTTCTCAAGTTCCTTTTCTTTCAGTGTGCTTCGAGCCTGCCTGCCCCAGTGGCTCTCTGTTCATTATTATTTTTTTTATTTTTCACTTTAGCATTTTATGAGCGAAAGAGTAAACTCGGGCGGTTCCTCGCCTATCTCGCTCCTCATCTCATCTCACCGAGTGCGATCGCGGTACTGAGTTAAGCTCACAACGTTGGGATTCTTTGTTAGTTGATTGTGAGATTTCATCCGGAACAGATCGCTTGTCAGAGATCTCTAAAAGAGCATAGAATCTCCCGAAATGTGCAGCAAGTCCTTGTCCATCTTTGTCCTCTTTTGGGGCCTCATTGCCGGAAGTGCAGTGGAGCAGTATGGAAACTACGGAAGTCCCTCATCGATTTCCACCACTCAGAGAAGCAACTCGGAGCTGCGTTGCATGAATATCAATCCCCAGAACTCGGTGGATCTAGAGCAGGTGAGATCTCGGATGTTTCCTGCAGGCTTTATTTCTATACTTAAAAAACTAGTTTACAATTGTAAGAGCCTAATGCAATTAGGGCTGATTTGTTCTAATTAACCCTTTGCGCCCAGAGTGCGCCCAATGTCAATGCTGTAAACGACAGCCACGCAGCCCTGTTGTGGCTCTTTATTATTATTTTTTCCATTTAATTGAACGCACAGCGAGTGGCATGCAAATCGCACAAAATGACCTCCATTCGCTTTTACATATGAGTGTGTAATAATGACCAGCCTCCCGTCCTCCTCCTACCATCCATCCATTCATCCATCCATCCATCCGTATAGATAATGGGACTCTGGTACGGCAGCGAGATTATTGTGCACAGCCAAGACTTTCCTGGGATCTACGAGTACGATTCCTGTGTGATTATCCATCTGGCCGATGTCACCGAACAGGTGAGTTTAAGAAATCACCGGAAATCCCTTGAAATCCTTTAACTGTAAACTCTCTAACAGGTTCGTCTTACACAAGCCACCCGAGGTTATGGCGGCTATGGCGGAAATCCGGATTACAACCGGAACCAGAACACATTTGGACGCACTACCACCACACCTTCACCTGCATATCTGGACAGCGATGAATACCACACAAGATATAACCAGGGACAGCAAAAGTACCTCCGTTTGGTGTGGAGCGAACGGGATAACAACCTGGAGTATACCTTCAACTACACCACCAGTGCCCCTGGGCAGTGGTCCAATATTGGTGACCAGCGGGGCTCTCTGGTCTCCCTGAACTCCTACACCCAATTCACCGGCACCGTCCAAGTGGTCAAGGCCGTCAACGATCATCTCGTGCTCACCTTCTGTGGCAATGATGTAAAGAGCTCCATATACACCGTGGTGCTGACCCGCAATCGTCTGGGACTCAGTTCAGATGTAAGTACTTTTGGTTATTTATAAATATTCTAAGAAATTTAACCCTACAGACGGGGATATATAGCAGTATTATTTTCTTTTTTTTTACTATGACCTTGAGGCGGCAACAAGTTCTAACTGATTTATTTAAGAAAGTATTCATTTGCTTCTTAAAAACTAGCATATATTTAAAACCAACTAGTTCTTTCTGTGTGCCTGTTTTTTATAGAAAACTAAATGTAAATGGCTTTTAATTAATATTTTTATAATATTTGAAATTTAAGCATTCCCTTTGAGTTAATTGAGTTAAATAATTGTAGATAACTACATCTTATAAAATTTGAGTTAATAATAACGTTTAATTATTTAATTTTGTCTTGTGAGAGAAAGATTCTTATCCAAGGAAATAAAAAGCATTGTCTGGTGCTTTTTAATAGATATTATTGTTGTGAGAAAATGATGATGAAAATGAATATAACTATAAAAGAAAATTTGTAAACATTTACTTAGTTATATTATAGTTTATATAGTTTATATTATAGTTTAAAATTTATAAGTTTTCCCTATGAATTCAGATTTTTAGTTTTTGAGAAAGATCTACCAAAATTCCGCAGAACACATTTATTTACACAACCCGTTTGTTTATTTAATGGAACTATATTTTCCTGGAAATCCTTATCAGTAGAACGGCATTTATTATTACATATTTATTGAAAATGCATCCACATAAGGGGAAATGCTTATTTGAATATAAATGCGCTGAGTATTACATTTTAAATATATTACTTGAGTAACTTATATTTTGACTAGAATATAGTATATAATATATATATACATATATTCGTTTTAGACACATTTTAAGAATAATTTTTAGTACTTACCTTTATGAATATTATTTCAAATAATTGTGTTTTTAAGAAATACTACTTAAATTAATTTATTAAAACAGACTTTCCCAGTTTCCCTGTAGCATAAATGTAACAATTTCCTTGTAACTAATCTTTATAATTTAATTTCTTTTCAAAGGTTTTTGTTTATTTGTTAGCTAATAATATTTTCCTTTATAAATTCCCCTGCGTCAATAGCAAGTTATTGTAATTATTTTGTTTGTAAATACAAGGTCAAGAGTTTTCTAAATGTTAATTAATAACAAAATGGCTCGCAAATAGTAGCGTTTCTATAGCATTTATTTGTCTCACCATTATTTTTTTTCAATAATTATAAATAATAAATGTTCTTACGTTTTTAATTTCCATTTTCCAGGAGCTGCGCAGCATCAGGAATCTGCTTTCCCGCCGCGGCCTCTACACGGAGACCATTCGCAAGGTCTGCAACGGATGTGGGAGGTTGGGCGGCAGCCTCTTTGCCCTCTTTGGCCTGCTGATGGCTGGACGCTTCTTCTGGGGGCGTAACCAATGATCGAAGATCTCTCTCCAGACAGACAGCAGCGTTTTTGTAATGAGTCCAGCCATAATATGTTAATTTATATTTAAATTACTTAAGCAATACAGAGGAAGATAGAGAGAGAGAGGCGAGATGCTCTCCCCCGAAAAAAAACAACTAACCAAATCGAGCTGTACTCGCAGTGCTTCCGCTTTTAATTGCTTGTCTTGTCAATTAAACCCAATTACGCAGAAGACGGGAACGGGGACTTAAGTGGGCATTAGCCGGTTGGCTAGTTGTAGGCGTTAAGTGTTTAATTAATTCTTAATTCAATTAGTGGGGATCTCAACCCGGTGTCTGGAATTTTTGGTATTACTAATTCACCGGAACTAATTCAGCGAAGGAACCTCTATTTTCTCTAATTTCCAACCCAAGTCATACAGCCCCAAAAGTAGGCAACGCCTGAAGAGATTGCCAAAAAATGAGTACATACATATTGCTCATACGCCGCGTTGACACAGTCACACACTAAAGCCAATGCCAATGTCGCACACTTTGTGCGCGATTACGTTGTTAACAGTACGCGTTTTTTTACACTATCAAGCAGATGTCTCTTATCAGACCTAGGCAACTGCTCTCGTGGTTTATAATGGATTATAGGCGGGTTGAGGCGACCCCCCAGCAAAGCATGGCTATCATAAACAGTCAATAGCCTTATGTTTCTTGTTCCAAATTCACGCGATATTAGCTCTCAAAGTTCACAAGTCTGGCGAGTGGTCTGTTTTGGCTTTTTAAATTCGTTCTTCTCGGTTGATAAGCTATCAGCTTTGAGAAAGCCTAAGTAGTCTAGAGTCTACCCTGGGACTGGCACTCGTATAAAAAAAGAAAATAAACAATCTTCTTTTCAAACTCTGTGTTTGTGGAAAAGTTTCGGTCACCAAAAAAAAAAATATTCCCAATGATTCCGGTGATTAATGTCCCTTCGAATGACGAAACCATATTGCATTCGAACACCAACAGGCAACGTGCCAGGTTATAGATAAGGACTAGATCGATCTGATTATTCATCTTGCCCCCTTTCGAGTCTGACTCGCACTTGAACTTGAAGTGAAGCGGTCATCATCATTGTTGTTGTTTTTGTTTTTGCCATTGTTATTGTTGACTTTTCGATTTTTCACCCGCACACTTTCTGCCGGATTTTACAACGCCTGATTGCAGTCATAGAGACTGAACGCTTTTTGTTTTGAAAATAATAATAATAATAATTCATCAGCCCCACGCCGCCTTTTTGCTGCCTGATAAGAGGCAAGCACACGTAGAGTGCTCATGATAGTAAGTATTACAAAAGAACACAGCATAGTATATACACATATCTTAGAGTCTCGGGTCCAAATCAATATGCACAATCAGCTGGCGGGCAGGATGTGTCTAAATAAGCTGATCTGACCTCTGTCGATGCCATGAGCCAGCGTAATTTGTCACGAAAATGTGTCAGTTACAGTCGAACATCTTTAAGCCGAACATGACCTACAACAAGCGATTTTCTTATTTCACTTATTTACCTTGAAGGTTGATATTCTCAGACAAAATGCAAACACTTGTGTAAGGATTGTCTATCTGAAGTTTATTATCTTCTACGACTACGGTTACGCATAGTTAAGGGATACCAAAGTGCAGGTTTAGATAAGTTTAGGGGTCTCAGGTTTTTATTATTTTAGCTTTATTTAACCAAGTTTCAAGTTGTATTTACTTTTCACTGGAAAAGAGTTTCTGAAATCAAAAAGTCTTAGAAATATTAAAGAAATATGTATATTAATTGCTTTTACAATATTTTAAAATGTCTAAAAATAGTAAAAATGAAATGTTAAATAAACTATACTTTATAATTCCAAGAATGGTTTATATTTCAACCTTGCATAGAGCCTATTTTTAAATCCATATTCTTCTTTAAGAATTAGCTGGGGAAATGTAAAAGTAAATATAAAATAAAGTATATGTTTGACTTCTTTATTTTTACTTCTTTTACTATTTAAATATAATAATAATATTAGTTATTCATATCCCCAAGTTCTCCCTGATAACCCAAGCTAAGTCGCCTGTCCCAGAAAATAGGTTGGAGTGGCATAATTAGGTCAGTTCAAGTCGCAGATGCTCGACTGTACATACTTTTAATGATGATTTACGTCATCGGCTGAGGGGTATTTGTATAATTGTGCAATATTCACACACAGCTGTGTGGATCAGCCTTTGGACTTTGGCTAGCACTTCGGAAGTGCATTTCTTCTCCTTTTTTTTCGGTTACGGATACCCCTCATTGAGTCTAGACAGCTCTAAACAAGACCATTTGCCAAATGCCAACAAACTTTTGGTTGGAAAATAAGTCGCACTTTGCCGGATTGCAATTGCATTGCCAGAAAAAAATAACACAAAACAATAACCTGGTAATAAGCTAATCAATTAGCAACCCTTTGAGCACCGGCAACCATCATCCGAATGCCTGATAAGCTGCGAACCACTACTCAAAAGATAGTGTCGTGTCCAGTGATAAGGCCATCGCCATGTCGGCTATAAATACCGGATCCAGAGCGAGCTGGGACCACAGAAACGAATTGTGCGCGCCCATGAGTTGAACCAGCGAGAAAGTCGAACACAATCACTCAACAAATCCCAGCCCCAGAGCAACCCAACTGTGATAAATTAAGCCAAATATCAAAAAACCATAAAACTCACAAGATGTCTGCTGCCAATAAAGTGAACCACTTGGTGGGTGCCACCACCCGTTACATTGCTGGCCGGAATGCTGTGCAAACGGTGTACTGGAGGACCTCCGCTGGACCCAATCCCCGGATGGTGAAGACGAACAAATTTTGCGAGTTCGATCGCAGCCAAAAGGCGCCCCAGAGTGTCCGGCTGCAGAAGTACAATCGCAGCTTCCTCCGGGATTGAGCAGAGTGATCCAGAGTCCTCCAGTTCCGCCCTAATGACATGTTCCTAATGTAGTTCTTCTCTTCATACAACATATGTATATTTTTTTTGGCGTGCACTTTGTATTTATTGTGTATAGTATTTTGTAAGGCCGATATATGTAGAATTAATCGAATCCAAAACGAAGCCAGCGCTACGATCTGTCATGTACCTTGGCATTAAAAATAATAACAAAGATTAAAAAATAAAATAAAATAAATGCAAATGCTTTCTAGCGCGTAGTATTTACACGAATATATTGCGTCGTTTTTCTGCGTCATTAAGTCATTAAATCAAATGGGCAATGACATCAATCGATCGGCAATCGATGAGAAAAATATAACACCAGACATTTGTAATATTCGGTTTATTCCTTTTTTAATATTTTATTTATTTAGTTTTATATTTTTATTACATACATTGAGTTCTCGTATATATATAATTTCTTGGGTTTTATGTTTATGCTTTACTTCCTTTTGTATGTATTTATTTTATATATAATTTTTCATTTAGTTTTATAATTTCGTTTCTTTAGATATCGTTCTTACTTATTTGTTATAGTATATTCTCGCTTTTTTTGTGTTTTGTTTTTTTGTTTGTTTTTAGTTTAATTTAATTTAATTTGCTTTGTGGGTGAAATATGTTGACGTTAAATTTTTTTGTTTTCTTTTCGTTTTTTTGTTGGTTGTTTAATTTTAATTTTTCTTCATTTTCGTTATGTTTATCGGGTTGTTCTTTACTTAAAATTACAGCCTTTATAAATAATTATTTTTGTATGCTAATTATCGTTTTTTTCTGTGTTTTCCATTTCCATTTTCTCGAATTTTGTGTTCTCTTATATGTTTTGCTTTATACTTTTTATTTCGCTTGCCGTTGTACTACGTATTCATTTTTCTGTCGTTATAATTTTACTAAATATATATATATAGAGACTTTTCCGCATCGTACTTTGATGGATCTGAATAATTTGCACACATGTATGTATATAATATATATATATATATATATAATATAATTGTTATCTAAATATATACTCATATAGACCTCATATATATTTATTCATATTTGACAATTTCAGTTGGGCTTAGTGTCTGGCTTTGCTCTTGTAGTGTAGTGTAGTTCTGGTTTTCGATCTTATTTATTTTTCTGTATTTTTTTTCTTTTTTTTTGCACACGGAAGATATACACACATGAATAAAAACCGAAAAAATACACACAAAACTTTGTGCATTTCCTTAGCTAGCTTTGGTTTCCGTTTTGATACTTTCTTTTGGAATATGTTGTGTTATTTTCTTTCATATTTATATGACATCTCGGTTTTTTTATTTGTTTGCCTAACTCAATTCACATCAAAACAGTTTTCGTTTGGTTTATCTCAAAAGAGAAAAATATATATTAATTATTATCTTTTGTATTTTACCATTGTTTTTATTATTACTTTTACTTTATTCTTCATTTGTGGTATTTGTTTTTTGATTAAAAAATATTGCAGCTCAAAATTGTAATACTTTGGTTTTCCAAGTTGAATTAAATTACTTTACCTATGTCCTCTCTAAAGCATAGAAGAACACAGTAGAGATCAGTTGGGTTATTCTCTATAATCGTCCCCCTGCTACCGCTATGCCTACGTCTATCTCTTGATCTAATTTCCCTCTGTTTTTTATTTATTTTATAGTGCCCTCTCCAATCTCCTAACTCCTAGCTCCTATCTCCTATCTCCTATCTTCTAGCTCCTTGCTGATATCATTTCTTTTAGTGGGCTGTAATTCCTTCGTTTCCGGTTGCGGATCCCAGTTCCGTTTCCGGCTCTCTGGGTCTGTGTGTGTGTGAGTGTTTTTGTGTCGTCTGCATTACGTATTTCCTTGACTCTACTTTTATGCTGCTCAGTATATAGTATATGTATGTATATATAGACTCTTATGTATGGTAAATTGTTTTTACTAGAAATGTTGTTTTCTTTTACGGAAGAATTTGGATACATTTTCTTAGTTCTTTTTTCGTATTTTTAGTTTTACTTTTTTCCACTTGAGTTTAGCTAAAAGTATAATTTGTCTAGTATTTTACTCGTTTACTTTTCAGCTAATCTTTTGCTATGTATATTTCTGTTGTTGCTTTATAGCACATTCATTTTTGGGCGCTTTAATTGGCTTAACATAGGTGTATCGGTGATCGGTAATCGGTATCGGTATCGGTATCGTTATTCAGTATGTGTTTAGATCGCGGCCTCACTATACTCTCCTCTACTTGTGTTGTATTATCCTGCTTCCTTATCTCGGCTTCAGCACAGTTTCTCACAATGTGCAGCTTGCACTTCGATTTATTTATTATTCTGATTTATCCTACACATGTACAAATGTGTGTGTATATATATATTTTTGCAACAGAATTTCGGCTTTTTTAGGAGGGAAGGATGGGTAATGGGTTTTTTTTTTCTTGTCAACTCAAATGGAATATGGAACGGGCTTAATGGACAGTTTTGTCAGCAGAAGGCAGAGTAAACGAAATTCTGTGCAAATATCTGACGAAACAAGGTCGACTAATGAATCCAAAATTAAGCCAAGAAAATTGCATTTAAAATTTTACAATTTCTTTTAGTAAATTCTTCAGTTTTGTCTGTGTGTGTATGTGTATGTGTGTACTCGTGTCTAAAAATACTCAACAATTTCGTTTACATGAAACCATTTTAGCTACAATTTATATATGGTTGTATATATGGTTAAATATTTCCTACACATTTCGCTTTCAACATTGTTAGAAAAACCTTCATGTTTTTATTTCGTTTTAGTTCTTGTTGTTGTTGTTTTGCTTTTCACCATTTGCCATGTTTTTATTAGCCTCTCGCTCTAGAAATTGCTCTGTATATATCGCGATATATCGTAATTAGAAATCGTTAATCGAAAAAAAATACTTTTGCTGACAACAATGATCCGAAAACAGATTTGGTGGCGGGTTAATGGTGACCTCGACCGAACTAAGGACCTAAAAATGGATCGCTAAGGGACACATTGCCCACTCTACACGCATCAGCGGCACCTAGGTGTGTGTGTGTGTGTGAGATTGTGTATATGTATCGGGGGTGCCCCTCGATTAATCGATTAATCTAAAAGAGTTCGTTGCACGTTTATTGTATTCATAGGCTCGTCCTTTTCCAAGCTCCTTCCTGCTATTGCCTTTCGAAATAAGGATCTCTTTAGAATTAATACCTGGCTGAATCGATCCCAAAACGCATATGTATACATTTATATATTTCGTGTCACTGCTGGAGGATACAATGGGGACTTTTCAATCTTCTCTATACAATATTCATCACATTTTCATCTTGTGGGGTTTGCTTTTGTTTTCTGCCTAGTTCTGGTTGCTAATTCATTTATTTATATTATTGCTGCGCCGTTTAATATTCGTTTAGTTACTAATGTAAGTACAATATCATAAAAATAAAAATAACACTGTATATTTTGTTATTTACCATTATTAATTTCATTTCGTTCCGTTTTAATTGTTTATAAATTATGCCGTTTTTGTATTTTCGGTTTACGCTTGGGTTTTTATATTATTTTTTTTTGTATTTCTTTTTGCTTTTTATTGTAAATATAAATATATATAATATATATCTCAGGTTTTCCGTTTATTAAGTACAATATAATATAACCATATACAAAGCGGCGCCCCTTCAACAGTTTCCCTTTCCAAATCCGAAGCCTCGAATCCTGCAAGTCCTTGCCTTGGCCTCCGACCCACAGAGCCACGTGTGTTTGTGTGTGGCATTTTGAAAAATTCGTAAACGGTTAGTACACTTTTAATATTCTTAGTTATTTTTTTTAGCGTCAGTCTTGTGTAAATTAAATTTTACTTCAAAAAACGTTTTAACGCGCACACACACACACAGTGGGCATGCACGCAGTGCGCACAGTGGGCCTCCTTTTAGCTGGCCTGGGGTTTATTCTGCTCTGCCTTCACACTGCTTTCACCGCTGCTCTCTCGGGCCGCTTTTCGTTATAAAAAATTGCTGCTCGGCTTTACATATACATATATATATATATTCATATATATATATATATATATTTAATAAAATGTATATAATATATATGCGTGTATACACATATAAGGTTTATTCAATTCACACGTAGACGTTTGTTAAAAAATGCATTTTTCTTATGTAAAAATGTTCTGCCATTCCAATTACTTTACCTTTTTAAGTCCCACCCCTCGTAAATATTATATAATATTTTTGTTTTTGGTATCTGATTACTGATTTCCTTTGTGTTGTGTTGTTGAGACGCCATCGAGAGATATATTGTTCTTGTACATTTTTTATATATATATATAATGTATATGTCTGTATGCTTATCAGATCATCTAAGTGTATGTATGCCTCTGTTTTTATTTAAGATTATAATTACTCGTACTCGGGAAGATTAAGTTTACACACGGTAGTGACAGAGAGAGAGAGAGATAGGAGCGAGCTTAGCAAATCATTTGTAATTGAACTACATTTAGAGTTTAGACAAGTTTAGTCCTAATAAATTGCAGCGCTTTTTGTCATTAGAGCTAATTTGACACAACCGTTTAATTCAACTATTTTATTCATATCTTAACGATTCGCGCTTTATTCTTTGCTACTTCTTAGTCGCCATTTGCTACTGAAAGATTCGTTGCTTCTTGTGTTTAGCAGCACCTGAAAAGTATGCTACACTTTTTGCTTGCTTGATCGGGAAGAACTTAAAAATAAAGTTAAAGAAATCAAATTGAAAACCAAATAATACTAAATAAACCAGTGTTCCATTTTTGTTTCGGGCTCTTTTTTTATTAGCTTGCAAGGCTGGACATGAACATGATAGATTTGGAAAAGAAAGTTAACATATCACAGATTTTGCAAAGCGAGATTCGAAAACCGCGAACTAACACAGATACCAAAATGGAAATCGCAAATAATTTAGAAAAATCAAGGGTCGATTGGACAGCGATCAACGATCAACGAATAACGATCAACAATCTGCTATCTACGATCAAAGATCAAGGATTAACAATCAAAGATGAAGGATCAAAGATCAACGATCGAAGATCAACAACCAAGGATCAATGACCATGGATCAACAAATGAAGGATCATGGATCAACGATCAAAAGTTCCATGAATCGGAGCTCCTCCCTCGTCAAGTGGTAAGAGTTGAACCCGAAACGAATGCTAATGTTATCGCTGGGAGGCAGTGTCTCCGCTCGAGGACCAGGACCATTTCCAGATGTGATGATGGGTGACAGCAAGGACACTATATTCGGGTCTTTTGGTGGTGGTGGTGTGATCACAAATGGTAATTTTGAAAGAAGTTGGGATATGCTTCGGTTGCTTCGAATTGAACTCGGGATGGTATTCGTCGGTATGTGGTCACATGATATATAAATATTCTCTGTGCGGGGGGGAAACGAAGTTGTTGAGATTTGTTGAGTTTTGTGCCCGCTCCATCCTCTTGATCCTGAATCCTGTGCCCTCATCTGGCCTGGCCTGGCTGCTCCTCTGCTCCTCCTCCCGTCATCGCAGGCGCACACTCGCTGCCACGCACCCTTTTGTTGTTTCCAAAAACTATGTAGTAGTAGTAACTTGCGAAAAAAAATAACGAAAACATAAACGAGAACAAACAACAAATGGAACAATTTGAACGCAGAAACACAGGTTATCAAAGATTACCCCCCACTGGAAGGGGGGTCCTGAGCTTTTTGGTTTTGGTACGGTGATCATGATGGTAATGGTGTCTTGATGAAAGTGGAAATATCAGAAAAACGCAAAACGATTAACAAAGGAGTATAGTGTGTGGCATCGCCATCGTCCACGTTCTATCGATGATGTGGGAGCACTCTTGTTCGTATGCAAAAAAACTTCTCTCCATCCATTCGTCCAATTTAAAATCTGATTCTACGAAATGTGGCTTGATCTTACTCTCTCTGTATCAATCTGTTTGTGATCTTGATCTTGATTTGGATCTTGATCTCCCCCCTCTCCCCTTAGCCAAGTATATAGATTTATATATTGGTTAAAGTCGGGGCAGACTGCCATTTGCATCCTCATACTCTGTCCAGGAATTTGTTGGCGACTGGTGTGAGTTCGTTGATGGCAAGTGATGGTGATGCAACAATTGAGAGTGATTTTCTGTACAAAAAATAAAAGATAAAGTAGATAGAGCCAAACTAAAATTAAGTAAAATAAAAGCGAAACCAAGGCATGTTTTTTTATACTTTTGCATCATGTTTTTTTTTTGTGTTTTGCATTTTGCTAAAATTATTAAGTAGCTGTTGCTTTATTGTTATTGCTATTTATGCGTTCTTTTCTGCTTTCTCATTTCTCATCTCTATATATATTTATAGGTAGTATAGTGTGTTGTGTGTATGGGGTGTGTGTACGTGGTTAAATATGTATCGTTTTTTTGTTTACTTCTTGTGATGATCATGGGATATTATCTTCATGTATATATATATATTTAATTTTACACAACGCGAGAAGGCAATCTCTCTTCACTCTTCCCCTCACTCGCCCATCTCTTGTATATATATTATGTAATTGCTGAATTCATTTAGGTAGGTAGGTACTTAGTCTAAAAACATTTGTGCTCGTAGTTGAGCTGCACTTAATCAGTTGATGTTCCTTCATTAAATATATATTATTCTTTGCGCTATGATATATATGTATTGTATATATATATAATTTTTCACTTCACTTTCGCATTTTCGCTCATTTTTGCCTTCGTCTAATTGCTATTTCATTTTGTTTGTTTTGTTTTTTGTTACTTGCCATTTGTTCATTTAATATATATATATATATGTATATATAATATAAATATTCACTATATATAAACTAAATAGATTTTTACGATGGGACAATCTGCTCTCTGCTGTTCAGTAAAAACTTAAGAACTCCGCGCTCTCGTCGTCGTACAATAAATTGAGTTTACAAACATTTTACACTCGTTTCGTTTCTCGTTTTTTTTTTTGTTTGTTTGTTTTGTCAGCAAAAATGTTCATTCATTCTTTAATTAATTAATCGTTATGGTTTTAATTATGCCTTGGCATTATCTTTATAATGTATATATATGTATATATCTGTATAATATATATTTAATATTGTTTTAAACCTAAACAATTTATTTATGAATTTTCGCATTTTCAAAATATCACGTATATACTTAAGTTACGCCTTGGATTTATTAGTTTTATGATCTGATCTTTGTGTGGATTAGTCTGCGGAAGAATTCAATTGCTGGGATGGCTGGAGAGATGGATCGCCTGGATATATGCATGGATGTAAAAAGAGTGATGAATCAAACTCAATTTCAACTTCAATTTCAATTTCAATCACACTCCTCTCCCAGCAATTAGCGGACTCTCGATCGAATCCGAGTGCCTTTTCAAACTAAATAAAATCCCTATTGACTGACATACATGTAAGTACTCTCTCTTGGTTGGTGGTTTCTATGTTGCTTCTTCGACTTGATTTCAGTTTTTAGTTTTTAACTAGAGCATGCCTTATTGAATTATTGCTTTTCATTTCATTACATTTTGTGTTGCTTCGTTTCAACAAAGAGTGATTACTAATTATTGTTACAATTCGATTTAAAAATGTATGATTTTTTGTTTTGTTTGTTTTTCATTTGTATTTAACTATTTAACAATTTAGTAAAAATTTGTCAACAAGTTTTACCCCGAAAAAAGATAAAACACATTTGCGGTGGCAGCATGCAGCCTCTCATTTTCCGGCATTTCCTTTTTCAAGTAAGTTGACCCCGCGGGCGACATCTGTTTTAGCAGGTATTTCTGAAACCTCTGGGTTTTGGTTTTATTTACGATCGATATCGATGCGATAGCGAAATCTTCGCGAAAACAGTGGGCAAATAATTTCGTTTTTTTTACTCGTTCAATAAGGCAATATACGTTAATATATATATAAATATTTATTTCGAATTTTCCGCTAAGGTATTTCATTCAGCCAAATTATGCACCAATTATTTATTTATATTCTTCTCGTTTTGAATGGAACTCGCCCGCAGGTCCGACGATGCCGAAGAGCGTACACTCTGCCCCCGCAAATGTATCTTTAAATAATTTTTGGTTAACACATCTTTCATCGCCTTTGTTTTTAGCTTTTTGCCTTTTCTTTTCGTTAATATTTTTTTTGATTAGTTTGATGCCATCATCATAACAATAGATACAACAGAATTTTTAAGTATGTGTGTAGAGACAAAACAAAAATGATAAATCAACATTTTTGCAGAGCTCGCTTTTGCTTGGTTTTCTTTTTTTTGTTTTGCCTTCTCATCTCTTGTACATTAGTTTATTATTAAATTGTTATATTATATTTCTTAGTACATATATATATGTATATATATATATATTTATATTTAACTATATTCTTGTGTAACACACACCTATGAGTGTCTATGTATTGCTTGAGTTTATCTATTTTCCTTTTCGCTAGAGCTTTGAGTTTAGCTTTCCTTTAATAGTCTCTCTAATATATATATGTGTGTATGTTTTTTCGCATTTGTTTTTAATTTTAGCTAGCATATTTTGAATATCTTTATTGTAGTTTTTTTTTAAATTTTCCTTTTTATTTTGTTTATGCTTAGTTCACTTTTTGCTTGGCTTATGTGGCTAACTTTTCTTTTTGTTGCTTTTAGTGTAAGTATTCTCGTTTAGACTAAAATTTCGTTTCAGTTTTTCTTTTGCTTGGCTTACAAGTTAGTTTTCATTTTTTTGTGTTTACTTTTCCAACGAACTCGGTTCGGAAAGTCAAGGATTAATTTCAAATGAATTATATCCTTGACTTGCCGCTCGGGTTTCGTGGGTGTGCGTAGGTGTGGTGTGTGTGTGTGTGTAGTGTGTATTTGACTTTGTCGTCTCCTTATTTTTGTAGCTTTGTATCGCTGTATGTGTGTGTTTCAGAGTTACGAGTTACATTTACTTTATATTGTATTGTATATATGTATATAAATTAGTTTACGCATAATATTATGTCTTTAATCTTCGATCGCTGCCCCCAAATATGTATAGTGTATGCAGTGTGTGTGTGTGGTGTGTGTGCCTCAGTTATTTTCTATAGTATAAGTATGTGTGTTTTGTTGCTGCTGCACTGTGTTTGTATTTTAATTTTTTATAGTTTAAATACGGTTTCAAGTTCTGTCTTCTGCCATAAATATCAGCTGCCTTTCTGACTTTTCCTCTCTGCACACACACACCATACACACACTCCTATCTGTATCCTTATAGCCCCCCCTCCCCTGCTGCAGCTGCTGCTCCTGCACCTCCGCTAATTGCACATCATAAATGTTTCCTCGACCAAATGTTATCCCCTTCACTCACACAGGACACACACACACACACAGGATGGTTCCATCTTTAATAACATAAGCTGCTTACTTTACAGCAGTTTGCAATGGCTTTTAATGTGTCTCTGTGTGAGTGAGTGTCCTTCCTCCACAGCTTTCACGATTTCCTTTGACTAAACATTTCCCAAATTTTGCAGCTGTTCGTGTGTGTGTGTGTGTGTGTATATATAAATTCTATTTATGCTTTAGTTTACTTTTGTTGTTATGGTTGTTGTTGTGGCTTTTGTTGTTCTGCTTGTTGTTGTTGTTGTAGTAGTAGTAGGTAGCATCACTATTGTTGCTGTTGCTGCTGCATCCTCAAAGTTAACATGGATAAATTCCTACAAAATAATCGAAAAAATCGTTGGATATACATATATATATATACATACACATATATATATTTAAATTGTAGGTATTGTTCATATTTAAGCATATATGTATGCGCTTTTGTGCCATCTACTACTACTATTTACAATCATTCTCTGCTATTTACAGCAAGCAAAAACCGAACAGAAAAATCGAAAGGAATCGAAGAATCGAAGGATAACAAAAATTATATAGATGTATAATTTCCCTCATGGCATTCAACTAATTTACATTACATGTTTGTATATATAGTATATATCTTTTTTGCTCTACATATACAATATATATATGCGATGTGTGGCCAAAAACTAAAGCTCCAAAACTTAGCATAAATTAAATTAAATCATAGGCATTAACATAAATGTAATAAACTAAAATTATAAACTAGGAGAGTGCGGCTGCTGCTGCAGTTGTAGTAGTTGTTTCGATCAGAGTTGGAGGGGCATATGTAATAATAATAATATAGCGTTTTGTTCTCGCATCTGCATCTGTCAGATTGTTGTTGTAATTGTTGTTGTAGTTGTAGTTGCAGTTGCAGTTGTTGTTGTAGTTGTTGATGTAGTTTTATGATTTATTATTCAGGGCAGCTCTCAACGAAAAATTGGCGACTACGAAAATTTGTTTACTTAATGTTTTTGCTTTTTGATTTAACCTATTTTTGTGATTGTTGATTATTATTATTATTATTATTGTTGTTGTAGTTGGTGGTTGGTGGTTGGTTGATTGGTTGGTGGTGCGCCAAGAATAAAATGAAAGAAAAGAAAGCAAATACCGATAATGTGTAGGCTCTACGACAAACGACAAAAATACCAGCGAGAGAGATACTAAATACTTTAGAGAAGCTGGCTTTAGCACAACTCACCTTGGTAATTCTGAGGCCAAATGGTGGGTACATTCTGGAATAGTAAAGGAAATTGTATCAAATTAATATTAAAATTATATTTTAAAAAGTTGCTGTCGAAATAATAGCACTAAGAAATCATATTTTGGGTATTCAAAAGCAATCTGTTACATAGAACTTTCAAATTTGGGAGGAATTGCATTATGTTGGCAATATATTTTTAATAAATGTTTTATTATATATTAGTGCTATTAATTTTAACTGCATTTTAATCACATTTGTAGACTCACCATTGGCACACTGTAGTACTGATAGAATGGCTGATATTGCATGGCTGATGGTGGGTAGATGGTGGGAACTCCAGCGGCTGTAAAGTCAGTAACTAGGTTTGGTTAATTGTTTCCCAATTGATGGTTGTTGTTGTTGTTGTTGGTGGTGGTGTTGGTGTTTTTTTTTTGTTGTTTTGTTCATTTTTGTGGAGTTGATGAAGTATACATATTTTGTTTATTTTTTCGAATAGAAAGAGAGTAATGAAATACAAAGAAAAGAAAAACAAATGTCAATAAAACCAAGTGAAACTCAGATAAACGATGAGGACCCATTAGCGCAAAGAGAGATACAAGTATAATATATATATTTATATAAATATATATATATGTATTGGAAGCGATTGCCTCACCTGGCGGATAAACGGCGGCAGCAAACTGATCCATCGGTATGTTGCTAATCGGTGCCGGCGGCGTGGTGGTATAGTAGACGGCTCCGTTTGTGGCCACAATCGATTGCAGAGGATTGGGCTAAAAGAATTGATTTATTATATATTTATTTTTTAAATATAATTACATATTTAATGTAGATTATCAAATCTTTCGATAGAATAAGGATACTAATTGATATATTCATAAATGTCACGATAAATGTAAATAGTTATCGAAATAATCGGTAAGCTAGTACATCCTTAAGAATAAGACCAACAATCGCTGCAGAAAAGCTACGATACTTATCGAAATTATCCTTATTCATTATCGAAATTTGATCATAACTAAGAGGTATCATCACACTCACCTGTTTTTTAATGGCCGGTGCAATGTTCAGTTTACGATCGCGTAGTACCACGCACTCGCCCTATATATATTTTCGATGACCAGCGACAGCAATGGAAGATAAATAGATAGATAGAGGGAGAAAGCATAAATGGGGAGCATTAATATCGATATATTGCATTATCAACACACAAGCCGAACGAAGAAATTCAAATTCAAATCGAACGCAGCAGCATCAAAAATTCTCAAAAAATAGTTAAAAATTAATGCGCAACGCTTTTGGTTTTATTTTGTGTCTTAATTAATTTTTTGATTTTATTATATCTTCTGTTCAGTTTTTTATATTTTTCTTTTTATGGCACGGCCATGGCTAAGAGAGAGAAAAACACGTGCCAAGGCAAAATACCATTACCAAAGTTATACATATGTATATATATTTATATATTTTATATATAGGTTTATGTGTTTATATGGTGGTGTGTGTGTGTGTATTTAAATTAAGTAAGGTTTATTACAAAATGTCATGTACATATGTTGCATAAAAAAAGATCTGCTGTTTTTTGCTGTGGGTTTTAATTTGGCTTCAAAAGCAATTTCAATTGCCAACGTATTGTTTCTCTTGTCTTTTTGTTTTTATTTTGTTTAATTTCATTTTCCATTTGCGCGGCACAAAAATCAACAACATGTTTATTTTAATCAACAAACAATAACACATAAAAATTCATTAACCAGAATAATAAACTCATTGAAATAAGTTTAATATAAAAGAAATTAACTGAAATGGCACAAAAGCGTTTAAAGAACAAATTCAATTTGGTAAAAATAAAGCTCGCTTTGTCATGTCATTTCTTCTCTCGTCTCGTGTTCGCAGCCACTACTGGATGATAATTAAATCAATTTATAAAACAATTATTCAAATGTAAAACCAATTAGAAAAACTGTGAAATGTAACACCAACACCAAGGTAAATATATATTAAAAATAATACAAGGTATAAAAACACACGGTTTTTGTAGAGATAAAGGAATGGAAATAGAGATTAACTCCTAAAATCGACCCAGAAAATTTCCTAGTCCCAGGAATCCCTTTGAAAAGTTGATTTACTTAAGGTAATCGCATCTCTATTTTGTATTTTATTTTTTGCCCATTAAAAATGCATTTAGCATCTCTTCGACCCTATAAATCAGCCAATTTACATTTAATACCTTAGCCAGCAAAAGGAACTGCTACTGAGAGCCTGCGTCTCTCTGAAAGGCTGCCAGTTCATCTTTAATTGCCAATTAGACCCCGCCTGATACCCTTGTGATTTGCGCTTGAAATGCATGAAAAGGACACGACTCCACAAAGAGAGATAAGCCAGGACGACTCCTTGCTGGAAGGAGGCTTGGGAACTGCGGGGTGACCTCTCTCTCTCGCTCTCTTGGCAACGGTAATAACCATTAACCTAAGCAAATGTTTGCGGGCCAAGGAGACGCTACTTTGTCGTTATAAAAAAATAAGGGGAAGGCAAAAAAAATGTGGAAAATGAAAATGAAAAGAAAAGCTTGAAGGCTTGAAGGCTTGGAGAAAACCTGAGCCGTCGCCGCTGTCGCCTTTTGCCGCGCGTATCCTTTTTCCTGACCGCCGCTGGGCAAACATTCTTTTCATTTATGTTCGAGTTGGCCGCCCTCGAGCCATCGTCCTCGGCTAGCGACATAAGGATAAGGGCCATAACAAAGGGCCAACGGTTGAGAAAGTAAACTAAAGATGAAACGTATGGCAAACGGAGGCAAAGGAGACCCCTCATACCCTTAACCACTTTTCTTCTGCTTCTTCTTGTCTTGAATGAATTTAATTAAGAATCCTTTTGGTGGCTGGCTTTTACGGTGGCCTTTTGTTTCAGCCTCCCCGCACAAAAAGGACAACAACACACACACAGGACACCGCCAGGTCCACTCTAAAATGATTTAAAATTGAATGAGAATGAGAATGAGGCTGCTTTTCCTCAACCTCCTGGAGTAGGAGTAGGCAAATCTCATACATTCGAAATGTGCGTTTCGAGTTTATTTTCGGGGCAACAAATTTCACTCTAATCTAGATGTATTTTTATTTGTGTTGCGTAATTATGCATGTATGAGGTGAGAATGGGTATGGATATGGTCTGATATTGGTTTTTATTTTGGGGGGGGGGGATTGGGATTAGTTTTTGCCATCAAAAAACATATACACAGAGATTAGTATACGCCAAGGGAACTGATGTGAAATATATATATAGATGTGTGTGGCTGCTGCGGCTTTTGATGAGTTCGTGGTCGAAAAACTCCCCCAAAAACTAAATGCGAAACTTTTCTAAATGAAATTTAATTAGTGTAATGTGTGTCTCCTTTTGTGTGTGTGTAAATTAAAACTTGGTTAAACGTTGCCAGGACTTGTCGTCGTTGTTATATTGTTGTTGATGCTGTGCCCATTTCAGCTTTTGCCTTTTGCATAGAGTGTGGTCGTTGTTATCCTTGTTCTGCCGCCGGGCATTATACTTGCTCGTTGCCTGTTCTCCCTTTTGCATTTCACAAGGACACTCGTGGCCCAGACTCTGCGAGCAAGCAAGTAGTGGAACAACAACGAGCAACGAGAACGACAACAATGCATATTAATGACGAGCGGCAAAAGTTTTTCACTTAATATGCCACCGAGCACAGGGCGGATGCTTCAGAGAATACGTCTATATATACTATATATATGTATATATATAGAGGGTAAAAAGCAAACGAGAATTTTCCCCTGAAATGGGTAAAAGTTGCATCACTTGGCGGCTATCCCCGGCTTCCAGTGGTTATGCAATAATTATAATCAATTAGTATGCCAAAACGAAATATGGCAGACAAGTTCATTTTGTAATGAGCCCACCACCTTGGAGGGGTAAGCTGTTTATGGACTGTTTATGGAACACCTAACCCAGATCTTGACCCTATATAGTTTGGGTTACAACCTGCTATTATTACACAGGAAAAATGGGTTAAGAAGGTAACTCAGATATTAATCTATTGATTTTAAGTCTAGTTCTTTATTGGTTCTAGTTCTTCCTTGGGGAAATATATTTCTAAGGGTTGATTAGTCACTAATAAAAACCAATGAAGTGGTTGGTAACCTCTAACAGGTCTTAACTATTTGTTCTTTGTGGAAAATATATTGATTCCAGCTGTTACATGTACATAACTTAAAAATTAATTAATTAATAAGAACTAGTGAAATGGTTGGTATTTCAACAAATTTTATGCGAATTAAATATCAGAAAAGGGATTAATTTCCACATTATTGTTTTCAACTTATTTAAGCTGCTTATACTAAATTGTTCTTTGCATATGGTAGCATAAACATAATTAATAATATCGCAGTTCTTCGAAAGAAAATCTATTTGAAACCTCTACTTATAAAGGGGATTTATACCCAATTCAGGAAAGTAATAACCATGATATAATCCTTAAATGTTTCTAGTTATTCTTTAGGAAAGAGTACCTTTAACTCAATTGAGGAAAGTATTTAAGAGTAAGGCACTTTATTAAGATTACTTTTCTGAAAGTAATTACTTAAGTTTCTCTCTGTGTACCCTTTTTCCACGAGGTGAGAGAGCGTGGGTTGCTCTGGGGAGCAGGTGATTGGACTGCCAACTTTGGATTTTTAGAAAGAGAAGACATATTCCCCAGGAACTTTTACACGCCGCACTTACTTTACTTGCCGGGGTTTTTTTCTTTTTATGAATTATTGCAATTTGAATTGGATTATTATTTATTACTGCCGCTTCTGCTGCTGCGCTGCTCCGTCAATTATTATTATTCCGCAATCGGGAAAAAATGTGCAATACACAATCGATTCGATCGAAAAATCAGCAAATTAGGCGAAACGGAAAAGATGTGCCAACAATGCAACTCTTACACGAAAATAGAAATCAAAATGGAACTCAAGACTGGATCAAACGAATTAAGGCAACAAGGCAACGCACTAAGGTATTGTCTATATATATATAGTCTAGTCTATATAAAGTCTATGGAGACTGCGCTCCAAAACGGAGCCAAAAGAGCAAAGACGCTAATTGTTTAATTGATTGCATAAAATGAGCATTAAAAAAACGGTGCAACGAACTCAACATTGTTTTGCATTTGCATTTGATTTTGGTTTTTTATTTATAATTTTTTTTTCTTAACGCTTAACGGGCATACTTCGATATATCAATAGGTTGTGTGTTGTGTATGGTGTGTATAGTGTGTTGTGTGTGTGTGGGATCAAAGAAATATATGGAAAGTAATGCTGCCTACACACGCTGGGGATATATATTGATTGTATTTGAAATGTGATTTATATAACTGGGTGAGTGTGTTTTAAATGAGTGTAGTGTGTGTGTTTGTTGTGGCAATGAAACGATATAAGGAACGCAACGGAATCGAATGTAACGTAACGTAATGGCAACGCAACGGAAATGTAACGTAACTCGGAAACGTAAACTCAACAAAAACGCAATAAGAAGAAATTTATAAAAGAACAAAGTGCCGTCCGTACCTAAGGCGGTACATCTGATCATCATCTTATATATCATATCATATATCATATATCATATATTTCATATATTATAGCGCTCTAAAAAGGCGACCATAAATCGTATGAGGTATATTCCCCCGCGGGGAGTGTTGTTGTTGTTGTTGGTAGTAGTAGTAGTAGTAGTAGTACTTAGTAGTAGTATCAGTAGTAGTAGGAGGAACCGACATCTCATAGTAGGTAGTACTTTGTGTGTGATGGGTCAGGTAATGCCCTAAAAGATCGGAGCACAATTTAAAGTTGTGTGTTGCTGCAGTGTACTCTTATCGAGAGAGTTATACATATTTTTTTAATTTAAAGTTTGTTCGTTGTTTGCTGGCTTCCTTGGTTTACAAAATCATAATACTGACGCGAGACTTCTTAATTTTTTGTTGTTTGTTTGTTTTAACGTTCAACAGGCGACATTAGCAAAAGGTCAAAGGACTGGTACTTACATCTGCTTGCAGTCTTTGCGCCTCCTGCTCCGTCTCGAATGTGACGAACCCATAGCCCTTGCTAACGCCGGCACGATCCACAATGATCTTGGTGCTCTTAACAGTCCCATAAGCGCTGAAGACGCGGGTTAGATCTGCCTCGGTGGTATCGCCACTGAAATGGGGAAGGAAATAAGGTATAAGTAATATTATATAAACTATAAGAAATATTACAAGGAGTGTATGTCATTAAGAACCTTTTATATTCCAAAACCCTTAAATTGCCTTGGATCTATTATACCTTGACCTGTATTGGCAAATCAACACTCTACGAAGTAGTAATTCTATGAGTTCTAGGCTTTTTAGATGCAAAGAGTATACAAATTATGTTAAAACAAAATATTAATTCTATGAATTCTGTTTGTAAATGCAAATAACTTGCTTCTGTTTAAACGATGCCTGAAACCTTTGGAAATATACAACCAATTCCATTGCAGGACTATTTCTATGAATCCTAATGTTTTTAAAGCCTTACGATACAGAAAAATTTTCTGAATTGAAAATCCACCTGCATCTACTTTAATTATACTAATACACTGATTAAGAAGGACTATTACTATTAATCCTACTCTGATTTTCTGGGAAATTTACCTGCATTTATGTAGATATTGTACCTTTCCTATGAACTAAGTTTAAATTATCTAAATTAAAATCCCACAAAAAGAAGCTTCTGTTTGACCTGCATTTAAATAATTTACCCTTCCATTTTCGTAGTTAATAAATTACTCCTTTAATTAATTAATTTATCCTGGATTATAAAAACCCTCGCAAAGCAGCTTAGTTCAACCCACTCACCTGATGCCGCCCACAAAGATACGGTTGGGGATAAGTGTGCCGTATTTGGGCGCCGCCAGTGGCGCTTCCAGCGCTCCAGCGGGCTGTGCCGCTGGAGGTGGCGCTGCCGCGATCTTGTGCATCTCAGCGGGTGTCGTCTCCAGACGAAAGTTGGCGGCTCCGAAGGGAAGAATCTTGAGGCTGTTACCGGAAACGGGGGTGCGCGCTGGCCAAAAAACTGATGTTCGCTTCTCGCTGATAGCCACTCGCTACTCGCTACTCGTTGCTCACTTGGCCGAGTATTATATATTCTTTTAGCGGGATCGGTTACTGCGGCTTATCGGTTCTGGATCGGAACGGATCGGTTGGCTGGCTGGCTATTAGGCGGCTGAGGTTATAGAATTGGTTTCCACTGCTTTAGTTGTGGCACGCATTTATACAGTTGAATGTCTGCGCTCCTGGCTCGAGATCTGAAAGATGAGATTTAGTTGAAATTGGAAATTAGTTGCGCTCATTAATAAGTCATTAAAATAATCAGCCACATGGCCAGCAAAACAAAAGACCACGACAACGACGAAGACGAACGTTTGAATCTCGGAGAAGGAAAAAAAGAGGAAAAAAGCAAAGAAATGCCCCCTACATTTCGAAACGAATCTATTTCTGGCACAGCCGACATATGTCACACGAGGAAAACTCGACGCATACACACAGAAAACTAGCAGAGGTAGTCCGGCACCATGTGTGCACCATAAATTCACCTTCAGAAGCGGCGGCGAGACAACTAAATAGCACAGAGTTTAATTTTAAAAGTAGCAGCACATAGCAGCAGCAGTAGAAGCAACAGCAACAGCAGCAACAGCAACAGCAGCAGCAGCAACAATAAACTTGCCTTGTCAACAAGGCGGTTTAAAAAAGTTTTATTTTTTGGGACACACTAGGTGCAAGATGCACAAGCACAGGAAAAAAAAAAGAATAATTATAGGGTTTTTAAATTTATTTATATACCATTTAATATAGGAATTGCATGCCTGAATTTTAAATTAATTAAAACCAAGTTTTTAGAAACTGCTGTTTGTGGCCCACTTTTTTTGTGAAAATTTATTGTATTGATTAAATAAAATTCCTTTATCGAAACAGATTTGTTTTAGGAATTTAGCATTCAAAGGTTTTGCTATTCCCTTAGGCATATTTTAAATAATTTTAAAACTATGCTTTTTTTTTTTTAATAAACAATATGAAATACTATCTAGGATAAGTGAAACTAACTGCTAGTAAAAGGAATTTAAAGGCGGGATAATGAGATCAAATTAATAATAAATTAATAAAAGGTATTAGTTCATGTTATGTTATATGGCCCATTAATAGTATTTTATTATATATTTTATTATATATTCATTTTATAGTAATTTTATTTAAATTCTATAGTTTCTGAGAGCAAGAACTAGATATCTCGACCAGCACTAAGATTGCCTAAGAAACGGTATAATTAACGCTTCTGTGTCTACTGAAATTTAAAAGGAATTCTAAATTCATATATAGTGAAAACTATTTTTTATAAACTAGCAGAATACCTTATCCTTAATAATTTATTTGAATATTATCCTGGACAAGGGTTAGCTTGTATTAAAATCTCTAGTCAGAACAAGGATCCATTTAATCAATTTTCAATGAGTTCTGAACTAGAACATCCCCATGAGCTTTTAGAGTATTTTAACATATATTTTACTGTATGCTTTTTAGTAAAGATTGATATATATTTTCGAGTTGATTTATTTAATTTAAGGTTCTAGAAGGTATTTCGTCTAACTTGTCTAAGGGAACTTTTAATTTTATAAGTTCTCTTGTAAGAATCTCCCCCAAATTTCTTTCCCTGTACTTCCCAAATATAAACGTGTTTCTAAGGCCTGCTTTTATTATGCCCATTATTTTGCCGATCAAGGAAACTTTAACATGCACTAATTTGAGTTCGAGTTGGAATACAGCCTTCGTCAAACATTTTGATGTGATATGGAGGGAGATGTGATGTGTGTGTTGTGTTAGATGATGTTTGCATGTTCTGGGCGTCGCATGTTTGCTGCTGCTGCTAGCCACCGCAGGCACTTAACGATCCCACATACAATATATATATGTAGATATTTGTATGCCGATGGCATGTAGGTGTTTGTATTTGTACATCCAATCCCTATCCGAGAATCCGTATCTGAATCCGTATCATTGATGATGGGGCAACGCGCTCCATTGCCCGCTGCTGGTTGCTTATCATTTAACATTTATCTGGGCCTGCCTTTACCTCCCTCCTCGTTCCCGCCTCTTTCAGCCAGCCTTTTGAAAAGACGACAACTATCCGGCAATGGCAATGGACATGGACATGGACATGGACATGGACGTGTACGTGTTCGATTGGCTCACATAGCAATGGAAACATAATTAAATTTTCATTAACAATGAAAATGTCAAAATTGTTTGCGTTCCTCCAATGAAGTTGTGCTATGCGAAGCATTTCAATTGTACCAAACGAGCGACCTGATCGATTTAAAGATATATATGTATATATACGTGGGTATGGCGGATGCATGTATGAGATATCTATTTAATGGACGGTGTGGGAAAGTTGTTGCCAACACGTGATTATGGCTCCATTTCGACCCATTTTCCGCTATCTCGAACAAATAAATTAACCGAATATAAGTGCTTGGGTATAAATCAAGGCAATAAATTCACTCAAAATTATAAATAACCAAAAAATATAAGATATATCTTCCGCTCATTAAAACGCGTCACCATTTTCCAAAATAAAAATCACACAAAATTGAAATATTTTTAGTTGCGAGAAAAACAAATTCGTTTTCTTCATTTACTCGAATGACGTTCGCATATAAATGCCGGCAGAATTTTCTATATCTGCTCTGTATATATACATTCATGTTTTTCTTTTTGCTTAATAGAAAATTGTGAAAAACTAAAAGCTTTGCCATCATAGATTTTCTAGGCTCTCGAGCGGATGTGGCCAGCAGCATAAAGTGGGTGAGTCCAAAGCTGATTTGCCGATGGGCTAAGTGCCCCTGACATGATTCATGAAAAGCCAAGATGGAGACGGGCAGAGAGGGCAGGGCTATATAGTGGAAATGAGTGCTCATGATTTATGTTCGCCTCTTAATTATTTACAATATTATGAAATTATTTTTGAGAACTTTATTCCCGGGCATTAGCAAAATTGATGATGCCACACAGAGCAGCAGCACGGCTCGTAGTAAAATGGCGACAAAAAGAGAATACCGAGCAGGTCGTGATGAATTATTAAAATGTTCATTACTCGGCCCCGGGCAACTTGGACAGAGAACTAAGGGAAATGCGGAAAAGCCACGGCAACAGAGCATCAAGCAGCACAACAGCAGCAACAACAGAGGTCAGCCGGAAAATCACAGAGTCAGCGGCAGAGTTAAGCTAGTATTCCGGGGCGATATCAATGGAATTTAATCAACAGCAGCAGCAGCAGCAGTCAGCTCAAAAACTCCCACACACACAATATAACCACCTTTACACCACCACCCACAGTGGAAACTGTCAGTCAGTCAGTCATTCCGTCATTTTGAGGTGTTCGTTCTCGTACTCCAACAATATTGCAAAATTCCACGTGCGAAAATTGCGCGAGTAATGCCAATGGAAACGAGAGAATTGCCAGGGAATTTTATATTCGCAAAAAGTGGGTAAAGTAAGGTAAAGAGTTCATACGACAATGCAATTTCTCACTGATATCAACCGAAATATGGTATATATCCTGGATAACTATAGTCTGTATCTATATCTGTTTCTAGGGGAAACGGCAAACAAACTATCCAAAGAATTTCATATTCCACCGGGTATAATTGCAAAATATTTTAGCCAGTGATGGTGGCAAATAAAACCATGAATATGATAGTAAATAGTCCAGTAAAAGGATAACATTGGGATTTAATGAAATAGAATAAATTAGAGAGGAATTATAGAGCTAGCATTTTAAATGTAATTTCATTTGCAAGTTAAAAGTATCTTATTAGCAATTTTTTGATCCAAATAAACATTAGGAATATTTATCAATACAAAAATAAGTACTTAATTATATATTTAATGCCCATCGGCATTGGAATAACCCAGTAAAAGTTCCCACAACCATATTGCGAGTGATTCATTGTTTCACGAGCTTAATTGACAAATAATCCCCCAATTCGTTTACAATTTCCAGTTCTATACATATCCCGATATCGGTTGGGAGCATTAAAAAAACATTCAGGATTTTTTCACTTTCATGTCCATTTTTGGCACATTTCGAGCGTAACTTGGGCAATTAGGGCAAATGCAATTAGTGAGCGCCAAACTATTGAATAACCAGACGCTTCAAGCTCGGAAAAGTCTGTAGAAAACTAGCAAGAGGAGAGTGAGTAGAGAGTAGAGGTAGCATGAAAAGGGAAAAGATTGAAAAGCAGGCAGAAGAAGAGTGGGCGTGCTGTAGTTACTGAAGAGAGTGCAAGTTTGACCTATAAAATGGCAACGTGGGCGCGCTTCACTTGGCACAGATACGAAAAACCAGTGGCAGAAAAAAAAATGCAAGATACAAAAAAATGGAAATAAAACCAACGCACAGCTGTGGCCAAGGAAAGTGCTGAAAACAGGCAAGGGAAAGGCGAGGAAAACCCGAAACAGGAACCCCAAACCGGAAGGAAGGAAGGCAGGAAGGAGCGCGTGGGCTAAAGGACTCACCAAAGGCGTGAGCACACTATTTTAAAACTAAACTGCCCACACGAGACACGAGACAGTCACAGTCACAGTCAAGAAACCGGAGACTACGGAACAACCCCCACAAAACTCCAAGGATGGAAGGTAGCTGGATTCTTCTACCGGGAATTCACTGTATCTATTTTTATTCTGGCATGCATACACCTGCATCCTTGTGTGTCCTTGCCAAAAACAATAAAGAGCACACCCAAGGCGAGCCGATAAATGCTGACACACAGAAGGCGAAGAGAAGAAGAGAAGCCATAAGGAAACAGGACGATATGCGCCTGGCAGTATGCTACACAAAATATAGAGCATGCACAAGGGAAAAAGACGATTGAAAAGGATTTTAACAATGATAATATATACATATATACTCGTATATGTATTTAAGTAAATTGAAAAAATACATCAAAGGATGCTGGTAAAGAAGGTGTGTAATCTAAGAAAACTTAAAAATAGTGAATATTAAAGCAGCTTTTTTGAGACATTTTTTATGGTTTTTAATTGTATCAGTTACAAAAATAGTAAGAAATAATAATAAGAAATCGGTGCCATTAGCAAACAGGATGGCTACACAAAATATAAACCAAAATATGGGAAAAAATGTCAGAAAAATAGATTTTATTGTTTAAAAAAAAGAATACAAAAAGGTTGAAAAACTGTCTCTTTAAACAAAGCATTTTAAAGAAGTTTCTTTAGGATTCTAAAGCTGTAT